ATAGGGTGTTTTCACTCACGTGGCCAACATCTATGCAAATTTATTAGAACAAAAGAAAGCGTTTGCACTGAAGAAAAGAGTTCAAATCCCACAGGACTGGTTATTCCGGGCAACTTTAAATTTCTTTTACTGTTTCTTCAGAAGCGAGGACTGATCACACCCTTGTTCGTTTAAGCCCTCAGAGTGAACAGCAGCAACAAATTTCTTCTGGTGAACAGAGTGGTCACTAAAATTAACGAACAGTGATCACACAAGATGAATTCGCTTTATAATTTAACATCTCTCACGGTAGAAGAACCCCGAAAACTCGAACTCTGGAGGGAAACGAAAAACAGTTCGAGTTAGCGGGGAATTCGAGTAATCGGTGTAAATTTCAGTGAAATTTTGATACTGAAATTTTGATCAAGGGAAATAGGAAATTTAGTTCGAGTTAAGCGAGTTCCAGTTATCGAGGTTCAATTGGACTTCTATAGGAAATGCATAAGGGGGACGGAAGAGAATTTAACAGTTTTGATAACAGGGTTGAAAGGCTGCAGGAGTATCTCTTTACAAAAAATGACGGTACTAATTTCAGAGATTTTGAGACTTCTAAAGGAATTTTTTGCAACGTTTTGACCATTGTATGCGTTTCGTCGTCAATACATTTTTCTAAATTGCCGAAAATGTCGTTTAAATCTAGCTAGCATTTGAGACTTCAAGGTTGAGCCTTATGTATATGACTCAAGAAAAAAAAGCTGAAAGAACCATAACTTTAGACATGCACTTTAACCCTTTAAACCCTAAGAGTGGTCAGCATCAAATTTCTCCTTGTAATATCAATGCTTTGTAAAACGGAGTGGTCATGAGAATTACGGACATGATCACACAAGATGAAGTTGCTTGATATTTTATCAACTTCTCCACACTACTTCTGTAGGAAATGAATAGGGGCAACAAATGAAATTTTGATCTTATGGGTTAAAGAGTTAATAGATTTTAAGAGTGTTCAGCCACGGTTTGAAATTCTTTTACTGCACTCTCCAATTGAATACAAATTGGGCGTTTTCAATTATTATTTAATAAACGCTCTCTGCAATATCTGGTTTACACTTTGAGATGTGAATCTGTTGTTTTCTGAGAAGTGGTGTTTAACAAATCTTTAGGCGAAATGCTACGTAATACGTAGCATGAAACACGAAATTTTAAACCCTGACTTTCCTATTAATAAAAGACTGACAATATTTAAACAAGTCCGAGAATTAAAGACATTGTAAAGAGCTTAATATAAAGTGTATCTCGGACATATAAGTATCTAAGTTAAACAGAAACAAAAAAATTGAATATTCTATACAATTTTGTCCCTAAGTATTAATTAAGTGAAATGTATATAAATATTTTTTAAGGTTTGATATAATCAGTGTTTATAGAAAATAACTGTAGTATGATCGCAAGAAATTCTTTCTACGTGTTTCGCCGTGCTTGACTCACAGTATGTTAGCTTGTGCATTGAAATATACATTTGCATTTTTGAAAGCTGACAATGTGGTATATTTGCGTCTCTAAGCAGCCGAATACGGCAGCTGTCAATGAATGTCTCGCGCATGCGCGCGAACCAGCACAACCACATTTAAAGTTTCTTATTCAATACCTTGACTCTTTCTAAATTTCTCATTTCTAAATTTTAACCGAAAATATTTTAGAACGCTATCTAAAAATATATTCGTTGAGCCAAAGGGGAGTTTTTTCGAATTAAGCAGGCCTTCGATGTGTCAGTTATTAATAATAAATGATTCTAATCTCCATGGCGCAAACGACAAACTTGAATTTGTAGAAATTTGCATTTTCGCAATGGCTGCTGTCAAAGTCGTGCATGAAGGCTAAATACGAAGGTGTTAGCACTACGATAAAACCGGAAAACAAAAGCCTTCTTGACTCCAACTTTTGAGATTTAACATTTATAACGCCGAAGAGGATTTTAAGGCAGCATTACCGTCATAAAATGACTCGCATGTCGTTCAATGCCGCGCTTTCTATTTTGAGCTTGGTGATTATTAGCCGAGCTTGGGAAACGCTGGCGAGCTCTAACGCCACCAATGCGACTAGCGGTAAGTGTTTAGTAGAACTTTTCGATCAAAAAGCTTCTGGAAAATTTACGGTGCAGGATAGCGTTAGATTCGATTGAAATATGTCGATTTTCTAGATCTAATATGTTTGTGTTATGCGCTAAAGAAATATACAAGATATATTTCGCTGTGCAGGTGACCGGCCAGCCGATGGATAATTGAGTTTACGTCGGTAACCTGGGATAGCCGTGCGTGTAATAGAAATAGAGAATAGAGATTTATGAAGTGCTTTTAAAATACAGATAATTCCTTTTAGAAGAAAAGATTGAATTGTTGATATTCGCCATGGCTTGATGACTTTTCTGAAACTCTGACAATAACTTTAATTTGCTGTAGATGGATTTTAGTTCAAAGTACCGAAAAGGTTAGTTCTTAAAGGAACTACTGCTTCAGATTTATTTTTCGATATAGGATTCAGGGAATCATTTAAGTTTTAGAATACTGACTAGGTAATGACTTGCTCAAAGTCTCAAGGAAATCCTATTTTCTTTTTAATAATTAATATTTGCGGTAACGGAGAACATCCTCATGTAAACTGCATAACGGGAAATAACTGTTTCAACATCGGATACCATGAATTTATTTCAATATCTTTCATGACGTAGGAACTGATTCAAATTAGTGACTTCAATTGCAGTTTACCGGTAGGAATCATTTCCAGTCGAACTTTTTTAAGAATTAACCACTGACTATTAGCTGAGATTATATCCTCGAACTCTTGCCACACTACAGGTAACTTTAAACATATCTTTAACCTCTCTCTGAGGGGGTTTTGAGATAAACGGCCTTTTTTCTGACAAGAAACGAGATAAAATACAATTTGTACTTTACGGTTGATAGTTTTTTTTTCCACAAAAGCTTTTGTTCTCGGTTATATCTTTACGATACCCGGGAGAAAAAACTCATGACATGTACAGAAAGCTGAGTGATTAAAGTTAGTCTTGTGCCATCCCATTGCGAGAATTTAATGAATCTCTTCATGCTAAACCTGCAATAGTTTTCAAAGTTTTAATTTATTAAAGAAAGCTTGAGTTCAGAATGCATTCTAGAATATTCCAGCTAAGTTAGGCTTGTCAGCGAATCGTGGGCGTTTTGTTGTATCCATGTAGATCTGCAATATAAATTATTATAAATTTGCTCTCGTATTTTACCATATAAATTATGCATAACTGACGTGTAAGAGAACTAATCGTTCTCATCCGCTTTGTTCTGAAAAGATGAAAACATGCCTTAATTAAAGATGGTGAAGAAACAAATCGGGATAAACCGTAACCTTTGTTTTAACCCTTTATGACACAATAGTGTCCAAAATCAATTTTCTCCTAACGATATCCATAGATTATCAAGAGCAAAGTCTACGAGAATTAATAAAATGATGTTAAAGAGAAAAATTTTGATCTTTTATCAAATTCTCTCAACTAATTCTTTAAGGAAATGTATGGAGATCAGTTTGGAGAATTTGTAAGTGGATATCGGGGCTTAAAGGGTTAATAGCGCAAATGGGCGAAAAGAGGAAAGAGCTCCAACATATGCGCAGCTTAACCCTTTCACTGCCAGAGTGTTTGATAGAGTTTTGTAAGGTGACTCTAACTTTTGAGTCTGTGGATGAAATCCTATGATGTGACCATTCAAATGAAAGCTCTCTGCCTGTACTTTCACATGATGCTATTTGTTTGTCAAAATTTTAGAAAATGAAATTTGGAAATTTGGTCGAAGATTTGTTATTCACGAATACTAATCCTGACCTTGACAAGTACAACATCAAGCAAAAAGATAAACGGACGCATCAGTTGCACACTAAATCGAGTGGTTGGTAAAGAGACAGGTTTGGGAACAGCGGAATGAGAAGAGGCAGGGAAGCACTTTATCCTATTCTTCTTTTCTCGCACTGTTTGCTTGCGCAAAGTTCCTTGCAGTTTAGAAACAATTCCTGCCCCTGGGTACCCAGAATGAGCCAGAGATTCGGAACTTCTTTAACCAACGACCTATGTGCAGTTCTGACAAATTAACTCAGACGTAACTACTTTATAAACAGCGACGTCATCTGATGAGGTTTGGGTTTGACGTTAGTTCTGGGCGCCCTTGCGCCGTGAGGTTTTATTCAGCATGCACTCCGAATTCCACCTCCCCCCAAAACTAATGTTTCCAAAATTCCAAAGTTTGATCTAGGATATAGAAGACGAAAAGTTACTCTTTGAATACTACCATGAAATTCATTTTTTTCTTGCCATTTAGTTGTTCATTTATTGATTTGTTTATTTCATTGGACCTCGCTGAATTTTCTATTCTCTTTGTCTTACAGTGTTAACTTCGTATTCAGTCTGAAGAGTGTTTCGAAATGTAAAAAAACGTCTATAGACCACTGCCAAACTTAACAAAGTTTCTGATTTTAAAGTGCTCCTTCTAGAAGTGATGATGATTTTTTTCCAAGCTCATACACAGTGGCTTAATTAGATTATTCACATAACTCATAAATGATTATTATTTAGTAAAACATCAGCACTTCTTCATTGAAGATTTGCATCATATTCATCAATCTCTGTTTTTGTATTGTATTTTTATGCCAGCATGCGCAACACAAGTTGACAAAAGATGTCCCTTGTCGCTCAAGATAGACTGGTGGGAGATTCCCCCCTATATCTACAAAAACGAGAAAGGCGAGGTCAAAGGAATATTCCATCAGGTTTTGGAAAAACTGGTGAGAGAATGCTGTGATAAAGATCCGAATAAAAATCAGCAGGATAGTGTCCCAGTCTGCGTGAAGCTTGACTACAGTGAAGTGCCTTCCAATGACTCCGAAGTTGTCAAGAAACATATCAACATGAACGGTAAATAAGCAGGCTTTTGTGGTAGTTTTTAGCTGTGTGACGTAACATCACAACTTAAGTCTGAATTATTTTAGCCGATCACAACAAGCGCGATAATTCAGATAAACTAAGACGGCAAACGTGGGAAGACGCGTTTGCAAAGTTCATGACGTGTTTACGGAATTAATTAATTTTACCAATCATAATGCATATAGGTAATCAATGAACCAATCATGTCCTGAAGCAAGTACATCAGTCAGTGACGAGCGTGGGAACTTGTGGCGCAAGCAAGTTACGACTGGTCGAGGTTTGGATTCTGACTGGCTGAGAATTTGGCGCATGATTTTCATAGGCCATCACAAAGCACGTTCATGGGACAACAGCAATGCCACCCCAAATGCGAAATAAGTCTCAATACTCAACTAAAATCTGTTCTTAATTTGAGTTGATTATAGTTTTCGTCCCATGTAAGGGAATTCAAGACAGTCTTGGATTCTGGATTCCGCGCCGTCGATTCCGGATTCTTGGTCCGGATTCTAATCGTTAGTGGGATTCCAGATTTCTTGTAGCTTTATATATAACTAACAAAGCTCTTAAGTTATGCCTTAAGACTTAAGTCCCAGATCATCTCTCTGTCTCTCTGAAAACTAGCAAAAGGTTACTTGAAAGCAGCGTAGCTCATTTCACATAGGATTTGCTCAACAGTGCCCATACTTTTTACTTTGTTGAGGAGAAGTGCAGTAAAATTTCAAGAAATGAATGGAAACTATAATATAAGCTGTTCTTGGCTCGTTTCAAGCCATGATATCACCGGCGTGTAGCGTAAGGGAGTGTAAGATCCATTTGAGTATTGCTCACTTGCTGCATGAAGGAAGAGAGAGTGGGAGCTCTACCTAATATGTGACGTATTCGACACAAACGATTTCTTCCTTGGTTTTCTTTAGAAGAACTGGGCGGGTAAAAAACTATCATCTATCTATCATGTCATCGAGTCCCTTTTTCGCCATGTCACACGAACTCCAATTAATAAAGGCAAGCGTTTTTATCTTCGGTGCAAAGCTGGCCTAACATTTGCCAATCCTGGTTCTGTGTTTGGTGAGCAGTGCAGTAAAATTCCTTTCCTTGCTGGGAGCTACCATCTCCTCCATGGAAAAAATGCAATGGTGCTAATGTAGTTATTCGCGAAAACCTGACAGAAACCGTAATATTTTATTTTTCTTTTGAAGGCACCGTGATGAGCATGCCTATCTATGGCGACATGAAAGACATAACTTTCCAGAATCACCCATTTTACCCTGTTGTGGAGTCCCCCGGGGTCGTTTTCATCGTAAAGAAGGAGGACTCTTCAAACGCCGCTCAAGCTGTCATGGAAGCAGTATTCCAAGGGTGGCCTGTTCTATTGCTCACGCTGATCATGGCCGCACTCTCAGGAATAGTGGTCTGGGCTCTAGTAAGTGTGTTAAACGTAATGTTTACTGCGGTGAAGCAAAGTATTATTCGAGGAAATACGGAATTTAACGTAAATGGCAAAATGATAATAAAACAAATAAATACTTCGCTTTCTTCTCTGTTCGTAGGATACCTACTGGAACCCGGAGGAGTTTCCTCGCTCTTTTTTCAAAGGAACATGGGAAGGTTTTTGGTGGGCTTTCGTTTCCATGACTACTGTTGGGTAAGCTACATTTGTTGATCCGTTTACACAATTCTTGCCTTTTTTGGTACTTGGTAGTAAGTAAACTACTCTTTCTGCGCTTATAAAAAAATCCGGTCGGTAGGGACATTTGTTATGCTTTACGGTCGTTATCATGACCGGTTTACAAAGAAAGCAAAAGCAGTGACGAAGAAACAAAGTCAGGAAAAGAAATGAGTACCGCCCCCTTAAAAATGTTTCATGGACAAAAACAATACCTTTCAGTGCGCTTTTTACTTTTCTGTGCATTTCTTCGTCGTTTTCTTTGAATTAAAACAAGAGTGGTAAATGCTGCAGGGTATAATTTGACATTAAAAGATTTCCTTTTGAGAGAGTCGAATGTATAAGAGGCGGTACGTTCGCGTCGACTTTCCTGTAGATTCATTTGACCCAGTTACTATTTTTCCTTGTGAGCTACGATCATTTGCCAAAAGTGATAAGGGGAATGGAGCTGAAATGTGTCACGCAATTGTTTCCGTGATCGTTACCGAGAACGCGCCGGTCAGCTGTTGTATAATTTCTCTCCTGTTCCTAATAACAGTTCTAGAAGTCTTTGCGAAAGTTAACGTGACCCACCCTCCTTTCTGAAGTGGCAAATTTACAGTCTTTCATTCTCGCAGGTGATAAATAATGAGCTTGCGCTCCATCTAATTTTTGATTCTTTTTCTTTCAGTTACGGTGATCGCGCTCCTCGCTCAGTTTTGGCGCGAACGTTTGCATTCATATGGGTTCTTATTGGCCTCGTGATCATCTCCATTTTCACTGCTACAGTTACAACGTCGCTGACAGCCATATCCCTCAGCAACGAAATCAAACTTTACGGATCAGACGTGAGTCATTTTCAGCCTTTTAACCCTTTAAACCCCAGGATCCGTATACAAATTCTCCAAACTGATCTCCATACATTTCCTTAAAGAATTAGTTGAGAGAATTTGATAAAAGATCAAAGCACTTTCTCTGTAGTGATCATTTTATTAATTCTCTTAACCTTCTCTGACAATGTATATCTTTTGTTAGGAGAAAATTAATGCTGGTGACCTTTTTAAGTTAAGCCCATAGGAGAGGGCGAGGCTAGCCACTGCCTTTGATCTCGCCGCTTCGCACTATGCACGATTACCCACTAGGGCTGTTAAAAAACTATATAGGGAAGGAGCCATAGCATTTGGAAATGAGGTGGATAAAAAAACACATCACCCATTCCTTCCTGTTGGCACAAAACTGACTGACCCAACCAAACCTCAATATCTCAGTACCTAATTCTGTTTGAGTTTTTGCTATCTTTTCACCGGCTTGGTGTACCGTATCTTTGTCATCAGGTTGTTGCTCTGAAGAACACAGAGGAGCAAAGGCTTGGCGTGAGAAACAATGCTAAAGTCACAGGTTGGTGTAATAAATTATAACATCCATGAGGAAACCTTCAGCATCAATTTTGTTCTAGCCGAATAGATTTGACCCCTAAATCCTACTTTCTGAGGCCAGAGACTCGCCACCGCCCAGATCAAAGCTCTCAATGTCGATTACCTTTTCGTCTCGAGCCCGAGATCAGTGTTTCACCCGTGAAGCCAAATGAGGCGAATTACGGTTACGGTAAGAGACTTTGCTAACGGTGTCATATCCAATTATATTTTTATCACCTTTATAGAGGACGTCAAAAAATTAGCGTTTAATCCTTCCAAAATATTTTAACTTGGGGGCGTATCTACCCTTCCCCCTCTTATACCAAAAAATTTTTTGGTCATATCTAAAATTAAACAATCTTTTTGTTTCAGAAAAGAACGTCGTCGAAGAACTGAAAAATGCCGTAACAGACGTGCAAAGTAAAATAACCGGGGCTCTTCTAGACAGTTACGTCGCGGGCTACTGGGCAAATAATGGGGAAAATCCAGTGTTAAAAGACAACAACCTTCGCGTGGGAACTGTTCTCGATCATCAGTTTGCATATGGCTTTGTGATCACTGGTCATCTTCAAAACGACAAAACGGAGAAGTGCATGAGGAAGAAGTTAAACAGCATGGAAACTGAGATCACTGAGATTATTCAGAAGAGCGCGCAAACAATGGAGGTAATGAGGAAGTTGTGAAATCATCCTGTCGAATCACTGCCACAACTGTTGCCAGCCTCGTTTTCAACCTCGTCCCGAAGGCCTTCTCTTTTTCCAATCCGCCATTTTAATTGAAAAACGAAACTACCCCTGGCTGCTGACTCGTCCCCAGTCGTCTAGTTGTCTCTACTCATTAATCATCCCCTTCGTTAAAGAGCCCGTTCTAGTCTTCCACGCCAAATACTAGTTAGTACTAATAATGAGAGACGACTGGGGACGAGTCAGCCACGGCTGTATGATCTCATTGGCTCTCTAACTGCCCACCTACCCCTCCCCTGAACCAACATTTTTCCCTAAGCAAGAACTTTGTGTTAACTTTGAGTTAGGGGAGGGGCAGGTGAGCACAAATATGGTAGTTCAGAACCGAAACTTGAAGCACGAATCTACTTGACTTACACAACACAGCCTGGTCCTCTCAGTCGAGATCGAGTGCTTTTATAGCGTTCCAGGTGACCAGCTTAGTTTCATACGTACCGAGAGGGAGAGCCGAGCCCCGGGGATTATTATGCTAGAGAGACTGCCCGCAATATCACTATTTTTCTCGCCTCCTTCCAACCCTATTACCCTAAGTATATTTCTTTGATAGTCATCTCCAGGCTTAACTCCTTACATTTGAAACCAAGCTGGCCGCTCGTAAGGGTAGGCGCGCGACGAATAGGAGACTAAAGACAGTCTAGAATGAATTTTCAGTAGAACAGGATTCAATTAAAACTTGTAGATTCTATGGTATCCCATTTTTTTTTGTTAGGATCCGGAGGCGAGTGCAGCCGTGGAAAAGACCAACAACTTGTTCGACGCGGAGTCACCTATGTTCAAGAAGGCCATTTACACATGCATAGGGTTGGTGGGCTTGCTGACCATCTGTGGGCTCATCTGGGAGTTTGCTTACTGGAGACCACGTCAACCCAAAGAAGCTAAAACTGGTGAGTGAATAGTTACTCTATCCGGGGGGAGCTGGGAAGGAGGGGAAGTGGATACCCTCATATATACAGTGACTATGAGAAACTGAAAAGCATTGTTTTTAACAACAAGTGGATATGGATTTAAAAAGTTACAAGTCTACAGTAGGGGTGCACGTGAATACTGCTAAGCAGCCTAGTCTGTTTTTAAACAATATATGGCTTTGGAGCTTCGGTGTCACACTACCACCAGGAAATTTTTCCGCTGAAACTCTGTAAATTTTGTACAATTGACTCGAACGATGTCCAAAGAAAAAAGAAAGCGCGTTGTGACTGATGATCGGAAAATTCCCCTATTCGCTGCCCTCACTGCCGCCGGTCAACTCGGACTCTTTTTTCTCCACTTTGGAAAAGTTCTTTCGCGCCACCGCCATCGATACTTGGCCAGAGTGTTTTTATTCCTGAGGAAAAACCCTTTTCTTACCAAGTTTTTTTTTCGTGTTTGTTTGTTTACAGAGGTGGAGCGAATCGTGACACCAGAGACTTCGTACGAAAGCCTGGTAGCGATGCAGTGCGCCGAGATCGAGGAAGCCATGATGAATGAAGTGCAGCGATTTTACATCGCCTGGAACAAGAAACTTGAAGAACTGAAGCGCAGAAATGGAAATCAGTTAGGGGCGGGTGACTCTAATGTGATGGGTATGGGAGTAAGCGGAGGAGATATGAGAAGCATGTGAGAAGCATGTGAACTGTACTCATTTAATGACACGCACTAGCACTGGCCTTCCAACCTCTCCACAACGATCACCTCGGGAAAAGGTGGCACGATTTCCTAGGAGTGTGGTAGTCTTTATAGGGAGGTTGAAATAAGCCTAGAGGTTATAGACAGATATAGCAAAGACAATGCAATGTCAAACGCAGGACTGAACGTGACCTCTGGTGCTTAATTGCCGCGTTGCCATTGGTCAAGTCGGTTTTTAGAATTGCGCGCGCAACCGTCGCCACTGTCTTCGCGTTGTCTTTGCTAAATCTGCCCAGCTGTTTTAACCACAAGCTAAGGTGAGGTGACCGATGTAGAGAGGTCGCTGTTAGCACGATAGAGGTTTCACAGTAATTTCTTTAGATTTTGTATCCTGCAGTGGAGGCTGCGAATTATAAGGCAAAAGAGCCCTCAATATTCCTCTTCTTGGCCGAGGGTTTGGTTTTAAAAGCAGAGAAAGAATTTGCAGATCAAAGGAGAAAAAAAGCAGGAAGTTGGGTCTCACATATTTGCTGACTTTTTCTTCAGAGATTTGGAGGGGTGGAAAAAGGCCGTGGCATCGGCTGGTCACACGTCCATACAGACACTAAGAAAACTTCTCATATATTAGCGATTAATGAAATGTCATTTCAAAGTTGAAATCATGAAACTGTTGCAATAGCAAGGGGTCGCTATCCACGTGTTCTAGCGCCACGCTCCTTTCCACCCCTCCCAATCTCGGAGGGAAAAGCCCTTGGAACCAAGTAGGGGGGGGGGGGGGGGGGGGGGAAGGGAAGGTTTCAAAGAAGAACAAAGTAAGGTTGCAGTTAACGTGGGGCGATGAAAAGATAATAAGGTCACTCATGCCATTTGTTGTAAATATCAGATATAGTTAAAATCACGCGCCGTAGGTTTCCAGATGAAGACCACGAGATGATACTCAAGAAAACTAGAAAAACCACTTCTTAGTCACAAGACAAAGAACAAATTCGCTTGAGAACATCACGTGACTTATATTGGGAGAAAGCAAGCTAAAGAGGTCTATTTCTTATTTCATAGTCTCCTGTCTCAGTGCGAGTTTTCTTAAATAACATACTGAAAAAAATAAAAAGAGCCTTGCTCGGGTGTAGTATATCTCAATCTTAAAATGTCGGGCCGATGTTTACGATTTCTTTCGCCACTGTTATGATACTAGTGCTCATTTTTATTCATTGCATTTTAAAAATTCATTAATTAGATTTCAATTGAGTGGCCAAAGTAATTTCGCGATTGCTTTGCTTTTGCTATTCTATGCTTTGTGAATGGCTGGAAAATATCTTGCCACCTCGACCAATCAGATACAGACCAATCCCAAGTACGACTTGCTCACCCACGTCAGTTTCCGCGCTTTGCACCTGGCGCCTTCAATAATTGCTTTCCGCGGTTCTGATTGGTTCCTTGGCTAGACTGTGTCGATTGTGTCGTGATTAGTCCACAAATATTTACTTTGCCAATGTGGCAGTCTTTCACGGCTTTCTACTGAAAACTGCCGGGAGAGGTCGGAGATTATTATTTTTTTTTTTTTTGCAAATTGTCAGGTAACGATGTTCAACATCTTCCAGCAATATTGAACCAACAACATGCTGGATGACGTTAAATTTGGCCGGGCATTAAGAATGGGATATATTATCACAACCTGAAGGCCTGTCGTAAATCGTATAATCATAATTCTATGAACATCATAGGAAAATTTGCCTTGCATAAACACTGACATAACTGGTCAAGGCTCGGAGTTAATGAGGGGTTTTTGCTGAGTAATTTGTTTGTTTTCCCATTATCTCCCAAATTCTTTACAACCCTTTTTAAAAGTTATCCATATAGGTTCAAGGTTAGTTTTCCTAGCTTTATTATTCAAATAGTATAGATGTAAATAATCTTACCAAATATATCGATGCAACAGCTTTCAACCGTTTCATTTGAGCAGTAATGCTGGTCACATTGTTCTAAAAATAGATTCCCCAAGTGACCAGCATTACTACTCATTTGCATTGTGCTTTCATGAGTTGTAAGATCGAAGAGTTACAATGTACAAATTACACAGCTTTCTTAGAAGACCTTCGAGAACACAAAGTAGACAAAATAAAGTTTCTTAAAAACTGAATAAGAAATTGACTCACGTCATTTGATGATTGACGGCCTGTGACACACAAAAAAGCAGTAACTCAGGAAGAGATGTTTAACGCTTGACTTTTTGAACCCAAAACGGTCAAGCATTTCAGTGCATGGGGCGTTGTTTTTTTTTTTTACTTGCAGCTTTATCTGCCAGAAGAGTCTTCTTGGCTTCTTGTATTTCGAGAGACTTAAGTGTGAAATGGAGAGTAAGAAGGAAAAAATGGAAAACGTTGGATTATAGGCCAAATGGCTGCCGCTCCACCATCATCATCATCATCATTATCATCATCATCATTATCTCTCGAGCAAGCGACCAGTCCCTCGAGCTCTCACTAGTCTTGAATCATAGTAGCCGGATGGGCATATGTTTTATATCTGTACAAGTGAAATTGGCTCTAAAAGAACTTACTTGACGATTTTAATACAGTAAATGAGTTGAATTAACCTGGAGTGGGTATAGAAACCAGAGATCGGGTTTAACTTTGAAACGAGTTTTATTTACCTCATAAAAAGAATACATGAGGTCTAAAACCTGATAAAGTTTCGCAGTTTCATAAATATATTATATTCATGGAACTGCAGAATAAAGATATTCAATACGCAGTTATATGCACGGAAGTAAGAAGTTGTCATTAAGCCCAAAAAAAGGAAATAGGCTTTACCGGAATCGCGTCCGTGACCTCACGATTCTGTAAGTTGCAGTGCTCCTCCCAAACGAGCTATCCACCGAGCTTAGGCTGCGTGCAAACGGACGCAATAACTCCCAACATTGTTGCGCCAACAATGTTGGGAGTTGTTGCGTGAGTGTTGGTAGTGGTGTGCAAACGGATGCAACAAGTCCCAACAATGTTGGGACCTGCAGTGCATCGTGGGAAGGATACAACCCATAAGTCTTTATAAAATGCGTAATGAGCGTGCGTGGCCCCAACAGTGTTGGAAGAGCTGTGCAAACGGATCCAACATTGTTGCGCTACGCTTCAGCGATCACGGAACAAAAGAAATGTTGGGAGTTGTTGGCTGAAAAGTTTGACCGGTTTCAAACTTTGCGCAACAACACGCAACAACATCCAACAACATGCAACAGGGTGTGTGCAAACGGACGCAACATGTAACATCCAACAATGTTGGGAGTTGTTGGCCAACAATGTTGCGCCCGTTTGCACGGGGCCTTATGGTGGGAACAGCGCATATATTAGATTAAAGTTGCACGTTTTCCATAGTAATGAGGTCGGCAAAATTTAAGAGTTAACGTGCAACAGCCAGAAAAATTCTCTTTTTGCTACAAATCGTAAAACGGTAATTACGAACGGGTCCTTATTTCTATGTTGTTGACATATTGCAATTTGTGAACTTTTCTGGCTGGTTTGAACTTCTTTGGCTTTTACGAGATATTGTATTTTTACCGAACATTTAGAACTAGTTAACGGCTTTAATTCAAGAATTCTAAACCGCTCGACCGGCTCAGTGGTCGATGAATTCCGTTACATTAAATTTCCACCAACAAATACAATAAACTTGGACCTACCTAATATTCTGTTGTTTCGAGTGGCTGCCAATCCAATATCAAGACCTTCAAAAACACAGGTTATGCGTGCCAGATAAACAGCATATGCACGTGTTTTAAAGACTGGTAGAATTTGGATCAGCCAGGGGTGGGTCGAGAGAGATTGTCTACAAACAAAACTCCTCTCGTGTGTAGGGTAAGGATGCGGTGACCGATTGACCATGCCACTTGAGACTGGGTGGGCGTGTTGTGTCAAAGTAATGGCACTGTTTAATAGGCCATTTCCGAGTTCCAAAAACTCTTACTTTCAAAAAGGCTAAGTGCAAAACCCTTGCTGTGAAAAATGAGCTTTATTTGCATGAGAATAAATAGTCATTTTCATGTCAGTAGCTTCGCTCCTAACCTCGCTTTAAAACAGAGGCTTCGGGCAACTCTGAAATGGCCTGTTCGAGAAGAGTTACAATGTACAAATTACACAGCTTTCTTAGAAGACCTTCGAGAACACAAAGTAGACAAAATAAAGTTTCTTAAAAACTGAATAAGAAATTGACTCACGTCATTTGATGATTGACGGCCTGTGACGCACAAAAAAGTAGTAACTCAGGAAGAGATGTTTAACGCTTGACTTTTTGAACCCAAAACGGTCAAGCATTTCAGTGCATGGGGCATTGTTCTCTTTTTACTTGCAGCCTTATCTGCCAGAAGAGTCTTCTTGGCTTCTTGTATTTCGAGAGACTTAAGTGTGAAATGGAGAGTAAGAAGGAAAAAATGGAAAACGTTGGATTATAGGCCAAATGGCTGCCGCTCCACCACCACCATCATCATCATCATCATCATTATCTCTCGAGCAAGCGACCAGTCCCTCGAGCTCTCACTAGTCTTGAATCATAGTAGCTGGATGTGCATATGTTTTATATCTATAAAAATGAAATTGGCTCTAACAGAGCTTACTTGACGATTTTAATACAGTAAATGAATTGAGTTAACCTGGAGTCAGTATAGAAATCAGAGATCGGGTTTAACTTTGAAACAAGTTTTATTTACCTCATAAAAAGACAACATAAGGTCTAAAACCTGGTAAAGTTTCGCAGTTTCATAAATATATTATATTCATGGAACTGCAGAATAAAGATATTCAATACGCAGTAGTATGCACGAAAGTAAGAAGTTGTCATTAAGCCCCGAAAACGAAATAGGCTTAAAGCCCCGTGCAAACGGACGCAAAGTTGTTGGCCAACAACTCCCAACATTGTTGGATGTTACATGTTGCGTCCGTTTGCACACCCTGTTGCACGTTGTTGGATGTTGTTGCGTGTTGTTGCCCAAAGTTTGAAACCGGTCAAACTTTTCAGCCAACAACTCCCAACATTTCTTTTGTTCCGTGATCGCCAAAGCGAAGCGCAACAATGTTGGATACGTTTGCACAGCTCTTCCAACATTGTTAGGGCCACGCACGCTCATTACGCATTTTACAAAGACTTATGGGTTGTATCCTTCCCACGATGCAATGCAGGTCCCAACATTGTTGGGAGTTGTTGCATCGGTTTGCACACCACTGCCAACATGCACGCAACAACTCCCAACATTGTTGGCGCGACAATGTTGGGAGGTGTTGCGTCCGTTTGCACGCAGCCCAACGGGCTTCGCACCCATGACCCCACGATTCTGGAAGTAGTAGTGCTCCTCCCAAATGAGCTATCCACGGTCAGACCAAGCTTTTGTCGGGGACAGCGCATATATTAGCTAACCTTTGCACGTTTTGCATAGAAATGAGTTAATGTGGAACAGCGACAAAAATTCTCTTATTGCTACTAATCGTAAAACAGTAATTATGAACGGGTTCTTATTTCTATGTTGTTGACATATTGTAATTTGTGAACTTTTCTGGTTGGTTTGAACTTCTTTGGCGTTTACGAGATATTGTATTTTTACCGAACATTTAGAACTAGTTAACGGCTTTAATTCAAGAATTCTAAACCGCTTGACACTCAGCGGTCGATGAATTCCGTTGCATTAAATTTCCATCAACAAACACAACTGATAAACTTGGACCTACCTCATATTCTGTTGTTTCGAGTAGCTGCTAATCCAATATAAAGACCTTCAAAAACACAGGTTATGCGTGCCAGATAAACAGCTTATGCACGTGTTTTAAAGACTAGTAGAATTTGGATCAGCCAGGGGTGGGTCGAGAGAGATTGTCTACAAACAAAACTCCTCTCGTGTGTAGGGTAAGGATGCGGTGACCGATTGACCATGCCACTTGAGACTGGGTGGGCGTGTTGTGTTAAAGTAATGGCACTTTTTAATGGGCCATTTCCGAGTTCCAAAAACTCTTACTTTCAAAAAGGCTAAGTGCAAAACCCTTGCTGTGAAAAATGAGTTTTATTTGCATGAGAATAAATAGTCATTTTCATGTCAATAGCTTCGCCCCTAACCTCGCTTTAAAACAGAGGCTTCGGGCAACTCGGAAATGGCCTTTTCGTCCATATTTGAATAGAAATAATAATAAAAAAATTAAAATAATAATTCTCTTTTCAAAACAATAGAAAGGTGCACCAAGTGAATAGAATCAGTGAAGAATAGATTGCGTGCAGTCTCCTATTTCTCTTTGAAAAGTTACTCCACGAGTATTGTAACGTTGTTGTTTGTAATCGCGCAGGCTTGGATAAGAATTGGACGGATTTTAAGAGAAAAGGCCGACTCCAAGCAGTCTAGTGAAGAATAACTACATGAAGAAATAAAAAATTCCCTGAGCAAGGTAAAAATTAACAAAGGGTATTCATTGAACGTGAAATGTCCGAAAAATGGTAAGATTTTAAGAAAGCTTAAAATACCTAGAGAGGGTGGAGTCCTAGCGTCACACCAATGTCTAAAATTGAAAAAAAGTACCCTCCTCCCACGTTGATCGAGTTATTCGCCCGGGGAAGGTTCAGACAGCTAAAAAACAACTTTAACTTTCCTTTATTTATGTTTTTTAAGAGTTCGCTTTGTACAAGCATACAATAAACCTTTTACAAAATTTTAACCACTAGTATACAAACTCCGCTGCTAAAGCAACGAATTTTAATTGACAAGTCCATGTAGGAATTACTAGGCTATATTTCAGTCCCACAAGTTCCAACAAGTGACCAGCACTTAAAACACAATTTTTTTCGCAGAGGTTCTCGTAGTAAAAAAGAATAGTTAAATAGTTAAAAGAATACAAATTTTTACGTTACGAGCACTTTAACAAATACTGGAGACAAAAGAAAAGAGGCATTAATAAAAAATGGTAACTTCCAATAAATTCTCCCTGGGAGAGATTCATACGACTGCTAATGAGAATTTGGACGATAATAGTGGAACTCGAAGGAATAAAACAAGTCATCGATTCTTTATTAAAAAAAAGTTGATTAGAGATTTAACTAGTTTTTATTTTTTAAACCCTTTGATAACTAACAGTGATCAATATCTAATATTTCCTTAAAATGCCACTAGTCAATCGCGCAGAAAGGGAGACTTCACCGAAACGTAAAGATCAACAAAGCTTTAGATACAATGTTTTGATTGTTTAAGAAATTATCTTTGTTAGCACTATATGATGTGTAAGGAAAACGAGTGTTTTCCAGTGTGGAGAATATGTTAGGTATCTTTAAAACATGCATGATAGTTTTTGGCGAAAAAACCTTCGCCGCCGGTTGAATACTTTTTAGCGTTACGTGAAAAGTAACCTGCGAATACAGCCGTTTGCCATCACTCCCCTTCATTGAGACGTTTTCTCTCGCCTAACGACCCCAAATAGGGGAACGATTAAAGCCTCCGTCTTCGCAGGCTACGAGAAAAGGAATAGGCCAAGTTCTTTGATTCGCAATCTACTTGTACCAAGGCTAGCAAAAGCCGCACACAGTTGTTAAAAAGTTTTTCTACACTTAAATAGCAATTGTTTATAAGAAGTGAGACTTTGTTTAAAGGTTTCTTTGATACAAATATCTTTCGGCCTTTCTAATGTAAGATGGTCAAGACGTGTGATTTTCGAATTTCCCTACAAAATTACACAGAAACATCAGTATCTAACGAATCGTTCAGCGAAGAAATCAATATTCTCAAACGATGACAAACCAAATTCTGCCATTTACCTTAAATTATCTAAACACAAACCAACAACTCACATGTAAACTAAAAGTAACGTTTTAACAGCTAACAACGGAGGTTTTTCACAAAACTCAGTAAGACCAGTCTAATCAACGACATTAACACCCAATGGAAAAATTGGAAAAAACTAAAGCAGCAAGTAACAAAGTGTGAAACAAAATGAAAAAACAAAATAAAATAAAACAAAAACAACTTGCTATAATTGTATTACTGAAGCTTATAAAGACCTTCACATTCCGTGAAACATGAATCGTATAGACCTTTATCTTCACGACCTATATCCGCCATCTTTGTACGGCCGCAAGGAATCATGGAATAGAGCAACGTCACGTGGTCTCCCAGGGGAATGGCAGCAGATGACAGCTGCTAATACAGGAAACCATGGTCAAGTTCGTTTAGTTCCTAGCCTCATTCCCAGGGTCTCTCTGTTTCAATTGGTGGGAACGAGGTTGGCTTATTCCTTCCATCCGGGAACGTAAGTTCCACTCGAGCCAAATGTACAGCTCGCCTTTCGTGTCACTGTCTCTTTCTTCAGGAGACATCTTTTTGGCATCCAAAAACGACAAAACTCAACTTATTCACCTGAAACTCCTTGACCGTAAGCCGTTCTTTATACTTCAATGGACATAATTTACAAACTAGACTGTGAATGTTCGTATTGGCCATTTTCATTAGCCGCCTGAGAGACCAAGTGCAAAGATGGCGGATATATCAGGGTCATTACACGTTTCTGGGAAACTGCCCACCTACCTCTCCCCAACGCCAACATAAACACTTAATTCTTACTTAGGGCAAAATTTGATCACTATGATCACCATTAAAATTTTAACTTACAGTATAGAACTCAAATTCATACAACTATTTAACAAAATTGGTATCAAGGCAAACTACTTCTTCCCTTAATGAATTTACAAAAGCCAGCAGCCCGTAAAGAATGCAAACATGTCCCTTACAAAATCGGTTAAGATCACTATAACAAAGCGAACACCACAAGATCTGCAGTTCGAAAATTGCATTACTGTATTAAAACACTCCGTTATGATTATTTTGCTAAGATAATTATACTTAAAAAGGCGCAAATTTCACATATGTATACTAATTTCTTATGGTATCAAACGGCTGTCAAGAGAAAAAATACAATATTTCACAAGCTGTCTTTTACCTACGGATACATAATTATAATTACTTTTTTCGATATTTGTTCCTTGGTGTTTATCTTGAAAATACATTAAAATTAATTTACTTTTTTCTTAACGCAACCAGTTTCAAAACAAAGATTTCATCAGTCCCGGCAACTAGTTTATCACGTGTTGCTGGGCTCGACCGAACGTCACTAACCACTTCGTGAATTTCCGACGTTGATGCGAGGCCGTCAGGAGATTCATTCTCCCACCGTCGAACAGTCGCAAAGTTGATCACCTGTTACTAGGTTCGATCGACGCGAAAAACCACTCGGTAAATTTCCGAAGTTGGTGCGAGGCTGTCCGAAGATCGTCTTGTAATCTTTTGTTTTCTTTCTGTAGTTTTCGGAGTTCTGAATCCAATCGATGCTTCTCCTCTCCTTCCTACAGAAACAACAGACAAGTCTTAAACCCTTTAAACCCTCTAGTGATCAGCTTGAAATTTCTCCATGTGATATCAATGCTTTACAAAACAGGGTGGTGATGAGAATTGAGCGAATGATCACAGAAGCTGAATCTAACAGACACTTCAACAAATTCTCCCTACTACTTCTATTGGAAATGTATGGGGAAAACAAAACAGAATTTTGAATTTTTAGCCATCATCAAGGCAAACAAGCACCAATCTACCACAATTCCTTTCTCTTCCTCTGGACAGAACGCTGTAGACCTCTCCCTGCTCCCCCCTCCCCCCTCCCCCCTTTTTGATTCGCTTTGACACGGTAAAGCTAATGTTGAAAACGTCTGTTCTAGAATCTCTTTACAGGGGTCACTAGTCAGGTCATTTCCGATTTCCAAAAAACTCTCACTTTCAAAACGTGGCCAAGTGCAAAACCGTCCTTGTGAAAATGAGTTTTATTCGCATAACAATAAAAAAAATCATATCAATGGCTTCGCACTTAGCCTTGCTTTGAAACACACTTACACGTCTACAATCATCCCTATGCTTTTTTACGCTAGAATCTTCTAGAAGAGAACTGATAGTTTCATTACTGACCTTCATTAAAGCATTCGATACAATAGCCAGCTTCATTTCAAGTTCAGCTTCTTTTCCTATACTCTCTCTTGTGAGCAAACTGAAAGTAATTATATAAAATATGATTTGTACCTGGTGCTTGCTGCCTGTAAAACGAAAGACGGTTTGTTTTATACCATTACATTCCATCTCAGACGTAAGTTCGGTTCACCGGACAGTCCGGCTTCATCCTCGAATAGGGGCCAAAGACAAGCATGGAGCGACTAGGAGTATTCCTATTCCCTCCCCCGTTACCCCTACATCCCCACCACAGAGGGGATGCCAGTCCATCGCTGGGTTAATTTTATTTTATTTTATTTAATTCTTTTTCACTGCATGCATTAAGAACAAACATGAAGAGAGCAGCGGGAAGGACTAGTAGGGGATAAGAACAATGGGAGCTAATTCAACCAATTAAAAAGAATAACGTATGTATAAAAAGAGGAAAAATATAAATTTATGATTCAAAAACTCACTAATAACTCATAAAGAAAAAAACAAAATTAACGTCCAATTTTTGAACCAAAATAACCTAACCTGCGTAGCACGCGTTAGGAATTAATGGGCGTAAGAACGCAAGCTAAAAATAACCCCAAATCTAAATTTTAGTGCACGTATCAGAGATTTTGAAGCCGTTCAAAAAACTCGCAGTCGTGTATCATCAGGTTTAAAAACTCGAGGCGAACACTCCTGCTCGTGTTTATAGACAATACTTAAAAAGACTACGATGACTGATGCTGTGGCCAAGCAACATGTGGGCAGTCAGGATCAAAATTCCTAATCTTATTCTTGTAATACTCTCTGCAATGAGCGTAGTTTAGTGTTACCATTCAAATGAATCCTCTTTGATAGAACTTTTTCATGGTACTGTTATTACTTAGGATTACTTTAAACCAAAAAATGAATTTTCCTTCGCGATGATGATTATACCATGATGATGATTATAATTATTATATTTATTTTTTTACTTTGGCTACTATTAAAAGTAACAAGGCTAAAGCGCCAGGGCGTGCATGCAAACCAGTCACATCAATATATCTGCTAGAAATAGCCAACACGGCCCAGTAATTCACGGAACAAAACATGCTTTTATGAAAAACGGGAATACTAGGCAAAGAAAGCCGTTAACATTTTCTTTAATAACGTCATGATTAAAAGCAAGACTCACCTTTCTCCGGAGTTTCCTTTCGCACTCTGCGGAGAAATAAAAACATACGGACGTGACTTTTCTTGCGGAGAAATCAAAACAGACAGACGTGACTATTTTTTATTTAGAATAAATTTAACTAAAATAGATCAAAATAACCCCTCCATTGTCATCGAAAGAGTGTTTAAAATAAGGCACTTAAGCATTACTTGGAAATGTAAAAAAACTCGTAAGAAAACTAAACATCTTCTTCAAGAAGTGAAACATTTCAGTCTCTAGTAAAAACCCTAGGGTGTGATAATTCGTGCGCATTTTACGTATTTCACAGAAGGAATTTGGGAAGGGGAGCCAAGCTATCCGACAGGTTAACAAAACAGCCACTAGACCATGACACGGATGTTATCGCGACTATTAAGTAAACTTTATTTACAAACTACAAAGAGATATGATCAACTAGTATGTACAAGAACACGTCGCTTACTTCCCTTAGTTTTGCAGACATGAACTCTCGTCCAATTTCTGAGCGGCGGCTATAACTTTTTACTTTCCACTGTTTTTTTTTTTTAATTTTTTTTATCCTGCGCGGTAGGTCCCATTGAGGCGAAGGGCGGCAATTTCACGTAATGTAAAGCGTGGAGATATCCTGAAGGGCGCATGCGTGATTCTTGGAAACCGCATTCGTGCGCGCAAGCGAAGACGAAAGTTAAGCAAGGGGAAAAAGAACGCTAGAAAAATAGAACCTGTGACGTAGGCTAAAAGTTACCGTTGTTCGCGTGATTCTTTGATCCAATTTACTACAGCATGAATAAATGGCAAAAAAAAACAAAAACAAAAACAATCAGACAAACAAAGAAATTGAGAATTCAGGTGAGAAAGTTTATCGACACTTTCCGACACTAAAGTTTATCTCTGTCCATCACGAGGTACTCCGCCTTGGGGCTTAAACGCGAAAAAACAAAGGAAACAGATGCCTGATGGCATATCTTGCTCTGACAAAAGACTTCTTAGCTCAAACCAATGCTTGATGTGGTTTTCGTTCGGCAAAACAGAAACAACTGCCATAGGAGTTGAAAGCAAATAAATATTAAACGATGGGCAGATAACAGCGGAAAAATCAGCATTTTTCTGGGATGGTAACTTTGAGTGCTAACATGACTTAACGTCTACCACAAAACCGCCTTTGATGGGCTGTACTTAAGTGCTCCCTTCAACCTCTGTACCCTACGAATTGCACATAAACGACTTGGTTTGTTTTGTTTCGTTAACATTCTAGATCAATGTTGCGATAAAACCTTTAGATACTGACCAGGGGCGGATCCAAACTTAGGTTAAGAAAGGACTGTTGAACCTTTTTGTGGCAAATCACTTTTCAAAGAGAAACCACGTGTTTCACACTGTGAACACCGCGGGTAATACTGCTTTGCGAGCAGAGGCGAACAGATGATCCCTGGAAGCAACGCGTGTTTCATTAAAAAATTCAGACCCTTAAAAAGTGATATACGATTCTGTCGATGTGAGAATTTTAGTCTCAAGCGTCAGGTCTGAGGGAGGGTGGGGGTGGGAGTCCGGACCCCTTGGACCCTCCCCCTGGATCCGCCCCTGCTGACGCCCTACAATAACCTCTCTATTACCGACACTGAGGCTACCGGTACGTACACACGGCACCGGATAAATTTTCGACCGGTTGAAAAATTCGTGCGTTTAGGCGTTCCATTCTCAGGGAACAACCTTAACCGTAGGAAAATTTAGACGCCTAGCTGTTGAAAGTTACGTGTGAACATAGCAAAAATATTGAATGGTCCCGTGTAAACGAAGTATCCGGTATCCAGTGCCGTATAAACGAAGCCTGAGTTCTGTTGGTCCATACCGCTAAGGCGCTTCCCTATCTGGCTCAAGGAGTCGGACAGTTTTTAGCAACGTAAAATGAAAGAAATTGCCCTCTCAAAAAAGGCGTTTTTGTCCGAACGGAGGAGAGGTGGACCAGGGGGTGTTACTTGGGTCAATTTTTGCTGGGTATGTGACGCTGGCCTCCCAAAATTCCTACCCCATTGTAGTTTATTTTGTGGCCAATTGTAGACCCCATTTTACACACTTTGGCCAAATGTAATTTACTGCCACTTTCTGTTTGTGCATCTACCTTATAAAGCCTAGTAGGTGTGTCATCCTAAAATGAATTCACACACTCTTTTGATAATTCCTAGATACAAATATTTTCTTAACCACAAAATCTCGAAAATGTGAGACCCCGTTCTAGTCACTCTATTGAAAAAGCAACTCCATATAGCCAATCCAGCAGCACATCCTTATTTGCCCATTACTAGGAAGTATTTCCCGTGGAAGGTTCTCCCCTCGGGAACAGGAAGTGAGCAAGTTACCTGAATCTACATAACGCAAATGTTTCTGATTTCCTAGTTCTAGAGGTTTCTTTCTATATTCGCCCCCACAAAACGGCTTGAGCCATTAAGAGGCGAGAGAAGAAATATCCGAATATTCTCTCGTCACTTTGCACCTCAAGGTCGAAAAGAAAATATCTGGAACAGCACCGCGATTTCCGGGTGTTCGACCCATTTTGCTTCCTAGCTTCTCTGAAAAACGTTTGGGCAAGAGTCTCTCTTGGTTTGACAAAAGTTGTAATATATTGATATACTCAGATGACGATTTCTAGCAAATAATTTTCATCAAATAGTTGAAACCCTAAAAATTTCCGTATTTATAAAATTCTTCGAAGTCTTGAGATTGAGCGATTTGAGTCAGCTATGCAGGTCGAATAAAGTTATCCTCTGATGCACCGCACTCTTTCGTACGATGCAACCAGATTTTTTAACCAACATTTTGAATCGGCCACAAAATGAAGTGAATGAAATTACACTTCCTGAGGCCCCCTCTGGTGCCTCTTGAGTCAACAAATATCAAGATATTTTACAAACATTAGTGCTGTTTATACTTCAACAAATTTAAACAAATCCATGCAATTTTGTTTCAAAGCGGAATTAGCATTGTTCAAGAGGGATCACGTCATTTAGTCAAATTTAACACGACTCGGCTCCATAAACGTACAGTGACTACAGTAAATGTTTATAAATCTAACCAAACATTGCGCTCAAGAATCTGACAGATGGTAACTGTTAAACGCACAGGAATATAGATATGTCTTTATGACTCATCCTCGCGTTAAGCGAGGCCGCACTTGAATAAACCCAGGCAAAACCCAACGATTTTTATTTCACCAAAATGGAAAAAAGTAATAATTAATAATTCACCTACCGGTACAGCAAATATTCTTTCGTCAAAGCTATGTCTTCTTGGAACAACAGGGATGTAAAACTTGTGCGGACCGTGAGAGCGGCCCCTACCTGAAAATATAAACAATCACGTACAATCAAGACGAACACGGACAACGCGCGTGGAGTGTTAACTTTGACGCCGGGCAAAATTAGCAAGCACACGTCTCGCAATTTCTTGACCAAATATCAGCACGAAAAGAAAATACTCCTCAGCAGCTTTGATTACTATGGATGATTCTATGTGGCCTTCAGGAACGAATATCTCAACCGCAAAAAACACAAATAGTATAAGATTGGCCACGACAGCTATAGAAATGCTTACTAGAAGTCTCTGCTCCAGCTGATGAAGGCCTCGCGTTAGTTCGCCACAATATTCGTGGATATTTGCGCTGAGGATCGGTAACAGGCATGGCTAAACCACCTTGTCGCTAGCTAAAATCGGCAAGAATCTTTGCATCACGAGACGCCATTGTTTTTCGTTTCATTTAACAACGCTACTACACAGATTCCTGCCGCGGGGCGTTTATTTATACGTTACGCAGGCCTGTTTATTACGCTACAGTGAACCTTTTGAAATTATCCACAGGCGGCCAGAGGAGGCCAAAATTTTCTTCGCGCCTTCGAAACCTTGGACAAGATTGCTAAGAATCGACTACTGTATAACATTATTACCACCCCAGTATCCCTTCTAAAAGTGGCAGGGGCACTTTCGTCAGCCCATAGATGATAGATTGAAGAATATTCAAAAGATATGACTAAACGCTCGATCGCTGCAGTCATTGCTTTTTTAAAAAAAAAAAATAAAACGAGATAATTAGCTATTGCAATTATACGACTTCTAAAAATTGCTCCCAATTACACCAAAAATTTTAACTTTTCTAAACGAGGTGACTTAGAGGTCCTTTACTTGATTTTGCGAAATATGGTTTCATCGGATGATCTTTTATGCTGCCCAGCGATCACAATGTTATAGTTACTGCAATGGCTTAACACTCTTAATAAATTTAAGGCACAAGAAGGGGATTTTTCCAGATTTAGAACAATTTGAGGTTATCTTTAAAAAAGAGGGAAAAGGCCAGCAACTAAAAAGGCTACAATCAATTCCAAGACGACCGCAGAGGTATGGAAAACCAAAAATTAAAAGAGGGCAATAAAAGCGAACTACTCCCTACAGACAACCCCCTATTGACCACTCCAGAAAATGCCATAACATACCATAATGCTCTTTCTCTGTCACCACAAAATTTTGCATAAGCATTGTTTTCAGTTTCTCTGGGGGCCATTTTCTATAAAACTCCCAAGAGAAATTGAAGACAATGCTTATGCAAAATTTTGGGTGACAAGCAAAGAGCATTACACCCTGCGAGCAGAGGCCCTTCGATTTTCCGACTTATCTAGGAAGATCGAAAGGCCTCTGCTCGCAGGGCAACAGCATTATGGTATGCTATGATATTTTCTGGAGTGGTCAATTACGGACCGTTCCCTTGCTCCAAAGTACCATCCCATCCCTATAATACTAGCCTGCATAACAGACGCTTTATGAACCAAGCGAGGCGAACGCGGCATTTTGCGCAAAGCGCGAGACGAAAGCGTAATGACGGTTTTGTGAAGGTTAGAGAAGTTGAATTTGACGATGCTTACGTCCTCTTTCATTTCTTTGGTATTTTGCTCTAATCAAAAGTGTATTTTTGACTTTAATAACAAGACCCACTTGATACGGACACTTCCTGTGGTCCCTTCAGTGTCCAGTTGACAGTAGTCTGACATGACATCTGCCTCTTCGCCCACCGCCACAGAGGGTTGGGCGAAGAGACGGATGACATTTCAGACTAGGAACTGAGAAACTGAGCAAGGATTTCAATAGTCTGCTACACAGCCGTTTTCTGTGTCGTCACGCAACGCTCCTCCCCACGGAGTCTTGCGTGACGATACTAAAAACGGCTGTGTAGCAGACTAGGATTTCAAAGGTAGAATAACCTGTTACATAGCACCAAATGAAAGTACTGCCCAGTGGCTTACATTTGAATGGCCACACGATAGGATCCCTCAGCACTGAGACTGAAAAGAGTTACAACTACCTGGCATATAAAAGACATAACTAGAATATAACGGAAGAATTTGGAAGTGGAAGACTTATCCTACGTGCAGCAGGGTGCAGCAGGGTCGCGGATGACGAGTGACGGCAGGCGCGGAATGACGGGTGGCGACCATCGCCGCTCATCACCGAGAAAACCATAGAATTGTAGCAATTGGTTGAATCCGAGTTACATTTGACAAAGTCTTATTTCCATCAAGCACAACCTATCTAACCTCATAAAAACCGGTTGTGAAGAAACAGGCAACGAACTGCATGGAAACGCATCCTCGCCTTGAAGAAAAAAACTAAAAACTGACTGACGCCCTCACTTTAGTCTCAGTTCACGTCATTCCGATATTGGTAGAATTATCTTTGTTTTAAATAGCGAAAGTACACTGCTTTATTTAAAGACGGTGTAAAAATAATTCTCTCTTTCTCATCGTCAGCAAGCTTTTCGCATCATTCCCAAATTTCTTTTTACCCATTTCCTAGTTCCAGTTATTCAATATGAACCTAAAGCGACCAGACAATGATAATGTCTTCCAAATTAAGTAAATATGCGGTCTTGTCTTGTCGAAAAGGACAGACAAATCTACTTAGTTATGATTGTCGGTCAGTCCTGAGTATTATTTTAAAAATCTACGAAATAGCTTCAGCAAGTTCCGTGTGAGAAACACAATTTACTTTCAAAAATACAAACGCAATATTTTGTAATAAAATTCTAAGGAAGACCAGACTTCGGAGAATTTTCTCTTCACGTTTTTCCGCTTCAACCGAATGTGAACAAAAATTGCACAATTCAGTGGCGACCCCTCCTAAAAGTAATGAGGTTCTAAATGGCCGGAAGTCGATCATCCGATTCGCGGTTAAGAGTGACGTCATACAAGCTTTTAACCCCATCATCAGATTTGATCTTCACAGGAACACTATACTAGTACAGTAATAAAAAGCACCGAGGAATAATTAATAACACGCAAACACAGACAAAACAATATCGTTCGACTCTAGAACAAAGCTATATTAATATAGTTGACATGAAACTGCAGTTTGAAACATCTGATTCGTGAATTTCTCACAATTTCAGAAACACTTTTAGACCGGGCGAATTAAGAAATTGTAACACCTCCAGCGATAACATGTACAGATCCGTTCCCCGCTGGTTAATTCACTTAGCTGCTTCTATTGAGTAATCCCAAACGGATCTCCGCTGCACATAAATGGTTCTCTTACACCACAAATCTATCAAAGAACTATGTTCAGATTTTACAGAACAGGAGTGACACTCTCCGAGAACCCAAAGCTCATCGTGTAACTCTTACTCAAACACTTTCGAGTTATCGAGTCAAGTAAACATCATTTAGTGTTGAGTTATGATTTCTTTATTCGTCAGCTAATTAGCTAAATACCATAAAATGAGCTCTAATGCGTAACCATTTCACAGATATAAACATTATCCCTCAAATCTTGTAACTAAAATTTCGTTTTAAACCGTCAAACGATGGATAATGCTGTAGAGAGTTTGTAAACCTTCGATTCTTATTTGTTTCCCTATAAACTTACGGGTGTGCGTTCACATTCAAGCACGATCCTTACAACAATGTAGTCCCTGGTTTAGTCTACCAAACAATCAATCCTATTAGGACAATGGTTCACTTTTTCGTGCGAAAAATTTCTTAGAAAACGATTGTTCGATCTAAACTTCCTACGTAAAGTTGAATCAGTGAATCTAGCCGCCTCCGCCAAAAACAACACAACACTGAAAAAAATATATAAAAATAAAAAGTTGCTCTTACGTAAACCATTCGGTGTGAGCGCTTGAAGCCGTGATTTCATTTTTGGAAGGTCCAAGATGTTGCTNTCAGTGAATCTAGCCGCCTCCGCCAAAAACAACACAACACTGAAAAAAATATATAAAAATAAAAAGTTGCTCTTACGTAAACCATTCGGTGTGAGCGCTTGAAGCCGTGATTTCATTTTTGGAAGGTCCAAAATGCTGCTTACGTCCCACTTCCTTCTGGAACTCATTGTTCTGTGGTCGAAACTATAACTTGGTAAACGAATGCACCTTTAAATGGACAGTATCGGTATCAAGAGCCTTTCCGTCACGTAAATTCCACGCCAGGTTTATTTTTAGCCAAGACGTTTTTTCATTTAGATTACGAAATGTAAACAAAGATTTGTTAAGGACGAGTTTTGTCTGCAATTTGCATAATAGAGAAGCTAAATAATACCCACTAATAAACGAACTGAAAGGAGAAAACAGTGGTGCCAATTTCCGTGAAGATGAATTCATGGGTAGGGATAAGATGCTTCTCGCACTATTTCACTTTCACCTAAGATACTTGAAAGAACTAATTGCTGACAACCATGTCATACTCAATCAGAAATCAATATTAAGAGGAGGTCGAAAGATCAAAGTCTACAGTAACTTTTGATCATCGTGTGTGTCATAATTTTATCTAAGGATCGAAGAGCAAAATACACAGGGTATAAAAACATGTATACTGCGATTCCGTTGCCCTTTAACTGGAATCAAGCCAAACACTTTAGCGCAGAGCTGGCAGGGGCACGACCACCAGGGGAACAGAATACAGGATAGGATATCCCTGGGGTAAAGTTTCGAAAACAATTCTCGCATGCGTACAAAAAGAAAATCCCTTCCGCTTTGCCTCTGTTCGAACATACCAGATTCCACAATGGGCCTTGGTAAAATAGCGGATAGCATTAAAACTTTAAAACTGTCTTAACAGATAAACTTATTAGATAACATTTACAGCTTAGCTGCTTTAAATATTTTCTGATCGACAACCCATGTAAAGGCGCTGTCTCGACTCAAGACTTGACTCGAGTTTTACAGAGTGTTAGTCTAGTTTTTCGTTAAGCTCAAGAACAATTGCGCCTCGCCTCCTATTTTGTTTGATGGAAAGGGACAAATCGGGACCACAAATCGTCTTTCACTTTTCTTTGCCCAATACGAAGGAAGAGGCAATTGTCCAAGCTTCCGCTTGAAAAACCTTCCAAGAGTAGACTACTCGAGGAGGCCAGTTGACGCGTCGACCTTCGGGATATTCCGCGCATTAAAACGAATTACAACTCAATTCTCTTCCAACAATTTCAACAAATAATGAAGGAAGAAGGTTATTAGAATTACTGAACAAAATGATCACTAAAGAGAAATACTTTGATCTTTTAACAAAATCTCTCAGCTACTTCTTTAGGGAAATGTATGGAGATGAGTTTGAAGAATTTGTATGTAGATACTTAAAAAATATTTTGACACTCGATCTCACTGTTACTCTAAATCTGTGAAGGAAATCCTATGGTGTTACCATTCAAATGAATCCTCTTTGGCATAACTTTTGCATGGTGTTATGTATTTCTTGAGATTTTACAGAAAGGAATTTGAATTATTGTGAACTTTATCTTTGGTCACTATTAGGGGAGGAAGGGTTATACACGGTTTATCCGGTGTATAAAAGACTAATCCCTAAGGGATCAAATAAGATTGACTTTTTCAAGTTTGGAACACTTATGCGAGCCACGCCAATGACATGAATACCACTCCTAAGCAGCAATTTCCGCACATATATTTTGGTTGAAATCTGACCGCGCTTACCTTCAAATGAAAGCCACTGAGCAGTACTTCATCGTGATGTTTTTTACTATGACGTACAAGGTGGTTCTAACTTTTGCGTCAGTGAATAAAACGCTGAAGTGTGACCATTCAAATGAAAGCGACTGAGGAGTCCTTTGATGTGGTACTGTTTATTACGCTGCAGACGGTGGTTCTAGCATTTTTAGTCTGCGGATAAAATCCTAAAGTGTGACCACTGAAATAAAAGCTACTGAGCAGTACTTTCCTTTTGGCACTGTTTATTATGCTGCGGTAAAAGGTGGTTTAAATTTTGAGTCTGTGGATAAACTCCGAAAGTGTGAATATCCACATAAAAGTTACTGCGCAGTAATTTTCCTGTGGTACTGTTTATTATGCTGTCCAAGGCGGTTCTGACTTTACAGTCTGTGCATGACGTCCTGTAGCATGACCATTCATATGAAATCTCGTTGGCAGGACTTTTAATGGGTCCTTTTTCTTTTCCACCATTTCTCAACATTAAATTTTACATTCAAGACAGAAATTTCACTTTTACAGCTTGCGGAATGACAAGATAAAGCAATCTTACCTGGTGCCTTTATTCTGCTCAACGACTTGTCCTTGTCTCTCTTCTCCTTTTCCCTTTCTTCTCTAGCGACAGAGGACTGGTGATGCAGCAGGTCCGACGCGCGTGTCAGCGAGTGCAGTACATCCTCAGCCACAACGAGCGAGGAACCTTTATCGTACTTGACAGCTTTTGCCGCATGAAGAAGCCGAGAAGTCTGATCAACGATCGAGTCACTCGGTTCTTCACTAGCGCTCATTTTGATCTTGGTAATCCGCGCGTTTTTGAGATGGGTGTGTGACTGAGAATGCGAACGATGTCCTCGAGATTCGCGCGGCATGGTCGCGTGAGGCGTGGTCCGTGTGTCCCACTCACGCGGGAGACTCGAAGATTTTTTGTGACTCTCTGGGGAGAAGAGCAATTTCCCTGCAATCATCTGACTAGCGTCCACAGCGTCCGCGTTTCTTTCTCTGGTTTCTTCATCAGTAGAATCAGAATTTCCGCCAGCAGCGGCCACTGATGACTGCTTTGAACCATTCGCAGCGGACGAACTAGAGACTGCACCTTGGCACACGCTAAATAGTCGTCCGTTCACTACCGGACCTAAGCGTCTTGAACAGTTTGCCTAAAAAGAAAGCCTCGCGTGGTGACCAAATTGCCTGCAAGCCATAGTGTCGGGCGTCCGAAGCTTACTCGGGCTTTGCTCGCCCGATTTCTTTCGCCTAAGATGAAGCGGGGTTTTCACGTCGTCATCTTGCACTCGCTCGGCAGGCATCTTCGCGCTATCATCCTGCGTGGTGAGTCTTGAATTTGTCTGTTTGTCCTCGCTTACATTTCTCCAATCCACAGGGGTGCTTCGGCTTTTAGCGTGGTAAATTTTAATCCCTTCCACCTTGTCACTGGGACCTTCCAGGGACTGCCGGTGGTTTTCCAAGCGTTCGATCAGAAGATTCCTGGCAGCCAAACGCGCTTCGTACTCTGACTTGCGCCTCATTTCCTTTTTCACTTCCACGGATGTGGGTGACGCCTCGACTACCGTAGTCGTGGTGTTTCTGCCTTGCATCACATTTTGCGGCAGATCGCCTTCACTCTTTCGCTGCAATACCCTGCTCTGTTCCCTGTCCGCTTCTCTTGTCAGTCTCTTCAAAATGTTTCCTTGTGAGTCTTCACCTTCGCCGCCTCGGAACTGGTTCAGCGTCTCCCCGGACTGCGCTCTGCGGGGAGTTAGTTGAATATCTTGCAGCGAACCCGAGGACGCCCGATCCCCGACTTTCATTCGTAAGCTCCCATTTCTTTCTAGGCTCCCTGTTCCATTTGCGATCATGTCTGGGGTTCGAAACCCAAACGCTTTTTCGATCTGGTCCACTGTGTCAGACATAGAAGCTTCAGTGATGTCCTCGTAGCTTGGTTTCTGTTTGTAAGTGTTCACTGTCGTGATCACGGCTCCTAAACTTGTCTCCTTGAAAGGCATGGCGTCGTTTTTCTGCGCGACATACGGCGTTGTTTCGTGACCCGAATCCCGTTTGTTACTGTTATCCGGCATTGCCTCGATGTTCACTCGGACAGCACCGTAACCGTCTTCCGGAAATCTGGAATCCATCGTACCTCCATCGACCCTGGAGTTTCCCTCTCCATTCACGACCGTTTTCCGATGCCTCTGCGATGTGCTTCCAAATATGGGCTTGTCAGGACTGCGGGGAGATGGCGGGGGAGAGGAAGGCCCGCTTGCGATAGCGTATAACGTGCCCGACGCTGTATGGGCTTTCACTGTGACACCAACGGACTTTGCGACACCCTGAGACCTTTCCCCATTAGGAGTCACACTCGTTACGGTGTACGAAGCCCCGTATGTAAAAGCTCCAGCCCCGTATGTACGCGGGGTCTCTTGAAGTGTTTGCGAGCTACCGCTGACCGAAGAAGTTGAACTCGTTCCAGGCGACGCCGGGGAATCAGGAGGGCGGGAGCCAGAATACATTGCTCTGAAGAGAAAAAGAAATGAGGGATCATTTTACGTTTTACTGCCCACCTAGCCCTCCCCTAAGCCAACGTTTTGCCCTAACCGAGAAGTAACTTTTAAAGTTGGCTTAGGGGAGGGGTAGGTGGCTAAAGGCCTTATCGTATCAACACGCAATTCTTCATAGGTTACCGGTCACTTCCCCCCCAGGTAATTTCGCCCCTGTTACTTAGCCCCCTATTTTCGAGTCATTTAGCGCGCTTCAAATGTGATATTCTTCGTTCTTTAAGCCATAAACCAAAACAAGAACGCTTCAAATATAATATTCCCCGTTCTAGAATAGGGGGGTAAGTAACCGGGGCGAGATGACCGGTAACCTCTTCATATGGTCTCCATACTGGTAGGTTTATTCTGGTGGTGGTGAGGGTACTTTGGTGAACAATCAAGACAACAAAATGATGTTATACATTTGTCAGTGAAACAGGCGACTCCAAAAAAATCCAAGTCATCCCAACGAGAGTCAAACCTAGCCCTCATACTCCGACCACTGAGCTATAGAAGTCTTGTTGGAGCTGAGGTCATTTAACCGGGTTCATGCGAAAATCATACAACATACTGCTAGGAATTGCACGTTAATGGACGGCTATTCGCAATGAAATTAGTAAATATAGTAAATTCTAAGCCTCGAGAATATATGTGAGTGACTTTTTTTAATGTCAGTCACGACGCAGTGAAGATATCATTGCGAGCAGTCTCTTACTTTTTTTTTTCAAGATAGTGGGACATCAAGCGTCAACGCCAGCCTACGAAACGCGAAAACTGAGGGCTTGTGTTTCTCGCATGTCACGCACGCCACATCACTAACTTTGTAGACAAACGAAAGACTATATGCACTCTAAAGGTACGATGTAACAACGGTTAGTTACCTTGCTTCAACAGAGCCAGCATTATTCGGTCGCATCACCCAAGGACTGTCTTTTCCGCCTTTGCCATTGCTTTTTGAGCCAACTTTAGACGGTGGCTTACGACCGCTATCAGCGGCTGAGAGGGACGTAGACGACCCCGCTGAAACATCACGTGAATCTACATCCTCTCCCACTGACGAGGCACTGCCAAATGAGGAAATAGTCCCCACTGAAGCACGACTGGCACTCCAGTAGGACCCACTAGGTAGCTGGATACCCCTGGGGAATAAAAAGTATCATGGCAAGTTAAACTGTGCCCCTGGGGAAAAAGTATATCTGCATAAGAAATGATAGGAGAATTAGGTTGTAACCCAGGAAAATGTGACCACCCACGCCGAACATAGGTAAGTCCTTGGACTCATCTCGAGAAAAATCATTAGTCCCAATCCAGAACCAATGGGTCCCAGTTTAAAAAAAACGAGTCCGAAATTAAAAATGCTTGGGCCTTTATGTAGACTGTTCACAGTCTTCTATTTTTTCGTGAGATCGTCGAGATATAGCGCGTCTTACGATCTTACGGAAAAATAGAGGACTGTGAACAATCTAGCCTTTATGTAACCCAACAGTAAAAATAATCTGAAGACAGACTCCAAATGAAAACTCTGTATTACAGTATACTGAAATTAATATAGTCCTATTTTAAAGCGGAACAAAGGCTAAAAGAATTGTGCACCGTTTAACAGCAGCCATGATAATAACTGCCACAGAAATTACACGAACGGGATATTTCTACAAATACACATGTTCAGATTGATCGATCTTTGCGGACGCATGCCATGAATTATTTTGCGTCTTTGGGGATTTATATGCGTCAGGGACGCAGGACGCAGAGGTAACAAAATCACTGAACATATAGAATATATTAGTTATCCAATGCTTTCTCGTGGTATACCGTGAAATATCCTGTGAGTGACTTATACAAACAAGCCTTTGCATAACTAATTTATCCTGTGCCTTTCATCATGACGACGTAAAATGAAGAGACCTTTACAACGAAGGTAAACTGGAATAATACAAGCTGTAAGAAATATTATTATTGGTCATTCGAACTATTTCGCCGTTTCTGATTGGTTCTAATCCCTGGCTAACTGTTCATAACCTGCTGGCGCTGACCAAATTAAGAAGATACGGGTAATATACAATCATTGACGTCATCAACTCTGACGTCAATGATTGTGCGCATTGCGAGCAGTGCACTTGAGTGTAAAACGAGAAATTCAAGTAGGAGGTACACACTTTCTTGGTTTTCCGCTCTGGAAGGGCGGCACAATAACAGCAGACACTGATCCAGGCTTGCGTAATATGTCAATCATCTGATCATGACTCAGCGTGGCTACAATCAGCCCATTGATCTGGAAAATAAGGATTTGTTATGACAAATAAGTCATTGACATCATAAATTTCGAATCATACAGGAGAAATAGAGGAGTGAGAGCAAGTACCCTTTCTCCTAACCTGTTCCAGGCGTTCAGAGAGTAGAGCGCGGCGGTCAGTGGGGAGCGAGTTACGAGTACACCAGGAAAACGGAGGGGGGGGAAGAGGGGGGAGCGAGAGCTTTCCCCCTCCCCGTTTCCCCCTCTAGTCTCCCCTCCCTTTTTTTTCTTCGTGAATTTGTCTCCCGGACCCTACTATCTGAACGACTGCAACTGGCTACCTTTCTCCCCCCACCCACCATCCCTAGAGCTTGCTAGTGCGTTGCAAAAGGCGTCACTTTTTAAACACTGATTTGCATGGCATCACTTGTGTTTCATGATTTTGCAAAACGGGTAGCATACTTGAATTTCCAACTTTTTGGTTGAGGGCCAAAATCTAATGACAAAACTCACAGGGTTTTCAGTAAGAATTCTAGTAATAAGAGGAAGGTGTAACGTTAAAGGAGAATATTTTGAAAGTCTCCACGCCTGAATAAACAGTAGTCATAGGCTACCGCACGTTAGCCGGAGAATTCTCCGATCTCCCATGCCAAATGAACACCCTGTCAACAGCTTTCCAATACAACCTCTTCAACAGTTTTTACATGGGTACGAGCTAATTGTATCTCTGGATTGAAGGTTTTAGTGCATAACCGAAAGAATACAAAGCATTTCTTTTATGACACTACTCTCAAGTGGTTCTGTACTTGAATTTTATGACTTTGTTCCAAACCTCAACAAGTCGAGATCCTTGTCGCAGCCCTGCCTGCCAGGCAAGCCCTGAATTTTCAACATCCGCGATCAGTCCTTCAAACTGTACATGAAATCCCAACTGTCCCATGTTGTTGCGCCGTAAGGTCATGGTTTGGGTCTGTCAGGAAGAAAATACCTGCTTTAGATTTGAGGACAAGGAGCGGAGGACGACTATGAGTACGAGAGTTTTTTCGCGTGTTGTGGACAAATATTTAACCCGGAAAGGTCATTGTACAATTTTCCACCTGAAAAAATTAGTGCGGTTATTTTTATTGGAGAAGGTTTAGCACTTTCCCGGTTGCAGAATGTAGAAACTTCTAAAATTTAATAACTTGTTCCGGCCAATACAACATTCTCGCTAAAACTCGTGATAGAATGACTACGGCTATCACGTTTTCCCGCCAAAGAGACGCTGGCTCACGCGCGTGCACTACTTAGTACTGAGACCAAGTACTCGTCTCAGAATCTTAAGACTATTATTATTAATAATAATACTATTACTATTATTATTATTATTATTATAATTATTATTATTACTATTATTAAAAACCTTATTCGCGATGTTTTGCAGATAATACAGAGAATACAGGGAGCAATGAGCAAAATGACTGTCTGATTTATCTACCAAAACATTGAATAAAAGATTTACTATTACATATCATAGAGCTAATCACATCGAAATATGATTGGTAGTCCCACCATTGTTAAATCTGTCTTCCTTCGACAAACAAGGAGTTTATAGTGCACTGAAGGACGTTACTATGTGATAATATAAAGGCACATTTGGCTGGCTCCCCTTTCTTTACAGGGTAAAATGAAGTTTAAGTGGAAAAATAAACTTAACGTAATATATCAAGCATGAGACGCAGTGTTTTATCACCAGGTGAAACACCGAGAGCCGTTATGAAGTATTTTTGACAAACTTTGAGGTCGCCCAGATGAAACACTTTGTCGAATGCTTGATATTACTTCTCAAACAAAATGATTTTCGAAGGAGAAATTAAGGATGCAAAAATCAGCAGTTTTTCATCTGATTTTCAAACACTGATTCAACATTAATTTCCTTTGTATTTCCTTTATGAATTATTACTGCGGTTAAGAATGCTGTATCATGAATTTCCTGTTTAAAATATAATAATGAATGTCATTGGCTGATTGCCACGACTTTCATTTCCGCTCAGCAGACATACACTCTGCCAACGGAGCTCACCAGGTAGTTTAGCCCGCATAGCAGGCGCCGAAAGGGATAGGGGATTGCGAGAAAGGGAAAAAGGGAGGGGGTTGGGGAGAGAGGGTAAGGGATTTTCTCCATCTTCCCCTCCCCCTCCCACTCTCCTTTTTGCGCCTACTACGCAGGCAACGAGTGGTTTGCTTTAACCGGGCAGTGTTTGCCTATGTAAGAAGAAACACAGAAAAACAATTTTACCTGGCAACCAATAGAAATTTCTTCAAGTCTCCTAACAATCTCTGGGATGTCATCTGAGTCAGATGTGGGAATGTTTAACACCAAACATTCTCCACTGCCATAAAATACCTTGATACTGTAGTCAGAAAGGTAATGCGTATTACATAAAACTCTCAAAAATGAAAAACTATACATTTCAAGGGGGAAAAACCAAGCGCTCTGTTTTCTATAACCATAAATGGACACATTAATAATATTATTAATTTTACTGACAATAAAGATACCTTTGTGAAAGTGACGTCCAGCCAATCACTGATTTAGATGGAATGCTGAACAAAACTTCCTGCAAGAAAATGAAAAAAATATATATACAGTCGAACCTCTCCAATACGGCCACATTGGGGACAGAAGAAAATGGCCGTTGTGAAAAGGTGACCGTCAGGGGCGTGGCCAGCTTTTGACTAGATGTAGGCCTGGCCGACTTTCATTTCCACGTGCCCTGAAAAGTGTACACATGACTAATACGCACTGAGCTCACCAATACTTTAAGCTCTTAAGCTTTTTAGCTCATGCCCAAAACGCATAATTTATTGCAAGGGGTAGAGTGATCAAACCAAAAAATTGTAGGCTGAGGCCGTTGTGGGGAGGTAGGGGTGGAATATGACAAATATTTTTTTCAGGGAGTACAACATGTTTATTGTGATACGTTCATGCTTAATGTATCCCATGATGGTAATCTAATCATATATAATATATACAGATAAAATACACAAAAAGCTTAATAATGGTTTGAATCAAAAAGTTAACGAGCAAGGTTCGCAATATTCGCTAAAAGTATCGTCGACAATTCATGCTCACTACAGCGTATAAATGGAACACAATCAAAAGAAGATTGCCATAATCATCAACGCACTATACCAATCCAATTTCATGACTTTTTAATCGATGGCAGAAAAAAATGGCCATTGTCAAGAGGTTATTTTAGCACTTGGGGACACGCTTTAGTGGTCGTTGCTGTTGTAAAGAGATGGCCGTTGTAGAGAGGTTTATAAAACAGGAGTCAATAATAGGCTGATTTAGCAACAGAACGAGAACGTCAGTTGAAGACGGCGCGCGCACATCAAACAACTGGCTTGATCAGTTGATCAATGGCAGAGAGGCAAATTGAGGACCGGAAGTCGTGTTTAGTCCTTTCCGTGCGCTTTCCCGTCGTCAAATGACGTTCGCGTCCTGTTGCTAAATCAGCCTAATGTATGGACTGTGCAACGGGACAAAAAAAGTGGCCGTTGCAGAGAGGTGGTCGTTAGTGGAGATTCGACATATTTTTTGAGACTAATCACCTAAATAAAAATTTAAAGACATCTCTACATTTACAATCATAAATGAAACATGGATAGAACTAAGTTGGAAAAAGTTGTACAACTAACCTTACTAGAGGAATGGATCAACACCAGTGTATCAGCAGAGATGCCCATCTTACACTCAATCACGGATGAATTCCTGTAATCATCAACCTGCAAATAATTCATACAGCAATCAACTTTGAGTTCATGTAGCATACCGTAAATCCTCTATTAAGCCCCACCCCGGGAAAAGGGCTTATTTATTTCAAACACATTTGAAGAGGGGAGGGGCCTTAATAGAGTTGGGGGGCTTATTTGAGAGGGGGGGCTTATTCAATGGTATCAGTTCTCCATAAATAACTAGAATACAAAGTGGAAAAGCTTAAGTACAAGAGGTTGGGGGTCATGCAGCCGAAACTTCCAGTTGGTAAATAAACCATCCCGGATCAGTCCACACGAAGTTTTACAGTCGTCATTGGCCAAGCAAGCGACAAGGTCCTTCCCCATATTAAATCAGACAAAGGACTTTTATGAAAGTCTAAACTACATGTACCCTCAATGATTACTTTTTATAAGAGAGTGGGTAACACAACAACAAACAAACAAATAAAAACAACCAAAAGCAAAAAACCAACTATCACCTGTACATTCCAAATTAATGCTCCCCTGGAAACTTTCTCTGGCGAAATGGGTGGACGAACCTTCTCCTTCTTCTTTGTTGATCTTAGAATACCTGGCAAAACAGAGTGTCACAGTTAGGGCTCAAAGACCTGTTCATTTATAGACTTATCAAAAACAAAACAAAAAACACCCGCTCTTGATTAGTCCTTAACGAATGGTCTGTGGAAGCAGACCCACTAATGAAAGATACAGCAGTAATTAAAGTTTTTGCTTCCAAAATCAATTTTTGAAGAAACAAATACACGTCTACCTTTAATAATGATGGTGTAGCAGTTGCCACAAAACCAAAAAGTCAAACTGATTATTCATTAAGTATATATTTACTCAAGTAAATATAATGAGGCTGTGAAGTCTGATAGTTATCATGACTATATTCAAACCAATGATCTGAGAAATGAACTCCTTATCGGTACATTTTGCGAAGGATCCAGAATATTACAGTTGTTAAAAAAAATAGCAAGGCTGCATTAATTTTTTCAGGATTAAAAAAGTATCCAAATGGGCAAGAGGCAAAACAACCAGTTGGCCATTTTGCAAGAATGAACTTGCAAAATGAACGAATTGAACTTAAGACTACCAAGAATAAATATCAGCATGGTAAATCAGAGTGGAACTTAAGCCCGGATCTTCAGACTGGAGCCGTAAAATAATTTTTATGTGGCTAAATGTAATTAAGGCAAAGTTAACCTCAAAGCAATGCTGGTCAGCAGTTTTCCCAGCTATGTTGGGGGTGGCCCAATGCCTCTAGAAGGGGCACCTTGTAAACTTCAAAGTACTAAATCCATCATGTATGTATTATTTTCATTCAGGGATGTCACTAAGATTTCAAGTTGCCGGGTAAATACAACAAGTAGGTGGGGAATCAAACAGCTAGGGATTTCTTTTGGTTTTATGTTTCTTCTATTTGCCTATGACAGTGGCCGGGGAACACATTCATAGTAGCCGGAGGAAATCCCTCACCCCTGGCTCTTAATAACAGCCCTGTTCATTGACAATGTACCTTTTCCTTTGGCACCAGTCTCCAGTGTGGTGTTGGTGATAAAGTTTGTTGCCAGATCTTTCAAGTATTCATGTCTTGTTCTTGTTGCCATAGCACTGAATTTCTCAGACTTGTGAGCAGCATTTTCGGCATTCATAACTGTAAATTAAAAACAACAACAAAAACTAACATTAAGGTTTTTGGTTTAGCAGTTTAGACCACTCTTTGAATTGGTCTTTCAGTAATACTCTCAAAATTTTCGTTTTTCAGCCACAATTTTCATTTTTCCTTTTGCACTCACATTTTGGTTTTCAGTTTTTTTCAAAAGGAAAAGTTGGTATTTAGGTTTCCTTGTTTGTGTTCACTTTCAAAAGATCAAAATTATTTCAACATTTTAAAATTTATACTTGGCTGCAAGGTTGAAAGGAATACAACAAAATTTATTCATTCACAAATTATTCATCCCTGAAGCTCTAGGTGTGTCCTCGACAGTGCTCGACTTTCAGAAAAAAATCTTGGGGTCAGCTGGCCTCCAAGTTTTCATGTTTGGTCGCCAGAATAACTATTCTAGTCGCCCAAAATTACATTTAAGAACTAATGGCATACAATAAACCTAACATCTTTTAATTAGCCTTAACAGAAAAAGAATGCTTTAGACTTCCTTGAACTTTCTTTCGAACGGTTTTCGCTCGAGGCTCGATTACCAGCCGGTGTTCGGGAACATGAACCCACACTCAAGCGTAAATCTACTCAAACAGGTATTCAAGCAATGGAATACACATTTAGATAAACAAACTTTAGGAATCACAAAAAATCTTATTTGGGTTATTAAAGAACAAAGTCTGCAAAATTTGCTCTGCGTCCCATGTATTTGCATGTTCAGAAATGAACATCGGTGAAACTTGATCTGTTTCGCGGTTGCCTAGCACGTGATCGAAAGTCTCCAGAAAGAGGAGACGTTGCTAATGTTTTCGGGCAAAGAAGTTGATTTCGCGAGAAGTCTGTTAGACAAACAGCATGTCTTTTGAGTTCAACGGTACTCCATTAGAAGTCAATAAAATATGGCAGGGTCGTCAGGCTCAACAGAAATTTGCATAAAGTAGTTTACCAGAAGCTTGAGAAATAAGCATCGTTCGTTCTCTATCAGCTTAGGCTTTTATCAGACTAATCTGCTATAAAGTCCGCAATCAAGATACATGTTCGACATAAAGAAATTGTTTTAAATCGATGTGCCAAAAGTCATTCCAAGAGAAACATGGGACGACCTGTTGAGAATTGCAATCAATTTGCTTGAAAGTCGATAAGACTTCCGTCGAATTTACAGTCCTCTTTCAAGTAAAAGTCAAACGTCAGACGGACCAACTGTTAGATCATAAGAACAATCCGTTAGAGTGTTGGAAGAAATCGTTAAAGCATTTAGACAAATGGTTAAAACGTTTAGATACACCGTTAAAGCGTTTAGGCAAAACGTTAGAGGGTCAGAAAAACCGTTAGCTATCCGTTAGTTTTGTAAAGGATAACAAATTATCATTAGTGTACGTTTTTCCAGAGAAGAAAATCCCCTATCTTGGGGGCCAGGTTGGCGACCAGGCGTGAAAATTTAGTCGCCACTGAGAAAAAGCTAGTCGCATTGGCGACCCCACAGGTCGCAACGTCGAGCCCTGCTCTATTCCCCCAAGCCTTGGAGCCGTGTATCAATAATTGGTCCACATTAAAAGTTGATGAAACAGTTAACAGATCTATTGGTTAAAAATTTTAGTGTAGAGTCTGGGCACTAGGAATTTACACTCCAAAAAATTGAATTGCTTATTTTATAGCTCACTGCAACTCAGTTTCGCAGCAAAGAAGGCCTTAACCTGAGTAGTTTCCAGAAGATAGTGACTCCAGGATAGGGGCTTGATTTGAAAGGAATAAAACAAAATTCCTCAAGTAGCCCCCCTCCCCCCCCTCCCCAACTTGTAGTGGGACAGTTTATGCTGTTACATATGAAGTAGATTATTCTAAAACCGGTCTGAACCACTCTGGGGTATAACACGTGTGTAGCTTCTGTACCACAATAGATCCGTCTGTCTCGTGGTGATTAAAGTGTTGTGTTCTCAGTTCTACTCATGTCAAATCCCTCTACAAAAGTGGTGGAGAACCTGGGCAACCTTGCCCTAGGAATCACTACCAAATCCTGGCAGTTTGTTTGAAAAGTATGCTATCAGAGGTTTTGGTTTTAAAAAGTACAATAACCATAATAGCATTATTTATTGAGAGGGTGACACTAGTATAGACAGTTTAAATAACTTATAAACCTGTGGCCTTCTAAGTGTCTTCATCTAGCCTGTTCTAGGCGTTCAGCTCATGGGGACAGTGCAAAGAGATGTGAGCAGAAAAAAAAAACACTCTCCCTCTTTTCCTCCATATTTTTTTCTCACTTTCCTCCTTAATGTTGCACTCCACTATCTGAACGCCTGGAACAGGCTAGTCTCCAACTAACTGGAAACACTTTCCAGATTGAATTTGAATCTGGATAACTGATACAGACATGCCCAGAGGTAAACGTCCCAAAGCAAGGAAGAGAACCAACAGACTCTACCCATGTATGGTGTTGACACCAAACTTGAACCTAGGTCTCACTGGTGGGAAGCGAATGCTCTCACCACCGTGCCATCCCTGATCACCCACAATAATCAATATTCAGACAGATGTACAAAGTCATGGAAAAGGATCTCCTTACCTTTTGTCAGAAGGAAGTCTGCAAAAGCCTTTTGCTTTCCAAACTTGGCCCCAGCAGGTATATTTGGTCCAAATGGAGGTACATCTTTAGAACGACTTACAGCGACTCTAAACATAAACATCAATAATGATTCCCAACATTTACTTACAACATTGTCATGGTTATCCTAGCCTGCATTGCAGACGTAATTTAACCCCAATAGGTTAACGTCTTAGAAGCAGCACCGAGATAAACGTTCTGGGCCCTCAACAGACTCAATGAATTACAAGAAGTGCATTTTGAACTTCCTTTAACTTTGATTGGCAAGTTGACAATGGCTTTTTCAACAGACCAATCATGGTGCGTACTCAAATCATGATACAAAGGTGGGGACCCGGAACAAGGATTTCAGCGCTGTTTTCCAGACAGACTTTAACCAGAGCTTAGTTTCGTCTGTAGCGCAGGCTAAGCTATCTCTGACTTCTTCAAAATGCAACAGAGTGAAAAAAGGGCACTGGAAATCTAGTTCATGGATGATCTTGTCAATGTTTAAATCTGATTTTCTAACTTTGTTGGCCTTCAAATTTAATAAGAACCATTAAAAAATTTCAAAATATTGTTTCTAGCATGCAACTTGCAAATTCCTGAGTGGGAAGAAATTTTCAAAACTGTGGGTCTGCCTGAAAAGGACCCCTCAAATGTTTTCTCCAAAAAATGTTCTATTCACAATTTACACATACACTTCACTGAATTTGCAACTGAATTCCACCCAGTAATAGAAAAATATAATCAATGTGTCAATTTTATTTAAGTAATTTAACAACGTTATTAACTTTTACCACAGTCTCAAAAAGCTTAAATACTGGTACCAGCTTGAACGTTATTTTGAGAGGGCTGCCTCTAAGTCAATACCTGTAATATGTATTATCAGAGCAAGGATTGAAAACTCTGACCACAATGAACACATGCTGAAAGTGAGATCTAATGTTCTTCGGTGTAAATGGAAGTGCACCAGGCTCTTGGAACACAATAGTGACTATGTCATTGCCAATGTGTCTTTTTCTGAGAAGCTGCAACAAAATGAAAAACATCATTCCATGTTATTATTGACAATTATACCAAAGAGAACTGCCTTGGAGGAAATACATAGAAAACATGTATAAGGCAGTTACCCTTAGGAGTGACCAACCAACTGCTTTACACAGGTTGACCTTTCAGTGGCAGATCCAGGTGAGGGGCCCGCAGGCCCCCCTTACTTTTAGATGTTCAGGCCGAAAAAATTTTTTTGGGAGATTGGGCCCCCCTCTTTTTCTAAGGGTCTGGATGACCGCCCCACCCTCCAACTCCTTATCTCAAGGTCTGGATCTGGCAGTGACCTTTGGATATGAGCATTGGCAAGTGACCAACAATTGATTCTGGTGTAGTTACTACATATGTATAACATGTATTAATTTTTATCTCATTTCTTCATGGCAACTGGTAAGAGCGAAAGGTGTTTTCCAAGTTAACTGTTCATGTTGACTACACCCTGATAAACATAATACCTGTTGTCTATTATTAGGTGTCCAGGGCAAAAGTGTTGAGACATGAAACATGATTTCTCGACCATGGAACTGTGTGTACACTGAATACTCTCCAGTGGAGTCATCTGCAAAATAGAAATTTACAATCAGTACTCTGACTGACAGTGAGTTAACCATCAGTCTGTTCATAGGTAGTTATGGTTTTATGGCAGTTTATAATATCTGTATTGTCTAAAATAACATTATTAAATTTTACTCGCAAACCAGAAGGTATTGTTTTAGTAAAGAGCTGCACCTTCCTTATCTCTTTTTTCTCACTATCATTCTCGGTTTCATCACTCCTACCCCTTCCTACTTGAGTTCACCCCAAAATAATTCCCCAAAGTTCTCCTCCCCCTCTTCCAAATAATCTCCCATCAAAGTTCCCTCCCAACAATCCCAAATAATCTCCCAACCATTCCCCTTCCCCTTCCCCTTCCCCAAATAGCCCCCACCAAAGTCCTCCTCCCCCTTCCCTAACTAATCCCCACAAACGTTTTTGTTTTGTGCTACCAAAATGGTGATAATTTATTGTTAAAGAATAATGTTTATTACTTGCAAGTGTAAGGATGATTTCTGAAACCAACCCAAAGTACATTACATGTCTGTTTGTCTAGAACTTACTCCTGTTATCCAGCTGGGCTCTGTACCCTTCAAAACCCTTCAGCGCAACTCTTTTTCCAATGAGTTCCAGAAATTCATCAAAAGCAGGACCTGACATTTCTGTTAAACAAAAAAGGTACATGTTAGGGGCTGTTTATATGATACCAGAATAAAAAAATTCTGGAAATAATTATGGGTTTCTTTTCAGAATGAAGTTTGTACTGCATTCATCACATGATAAAATTGACTCACTCAACCTATGGCATTCTCACAAACATGGTTTTTGTGCCAGATCAAATACACATGTGCCACTTACACAATTTGTGATTTTCAATCTGGAACAAAGTTTGGTTTCAGTTTACATGATACCAGAATGAAACTTCAGAACAGAACAAGAACTTTACTTGGACTGAAAACCAGAATGACTTGAACAAGAACTACATGTTGCTTCGGTATCAAGTAAGCAAATATGGAGAAATAGATTATAATGGAGATGTAATAAACTCATTCCAGAATGAAAGTCATTCCAGCATCAAGTGAATAGCCCCTAAATCTGAACATCCTAAAAAACTCGGATCAGTTCAGGTTTCTGGGAAACAGCCCATCTACCCCTCCCCTAACCCAACATTTTGCCCCAAGTGAGATGCACATGTTAACATTGAGTTAGGGGAGGGGTAGGTGGGCAGTTTTCAAGAAACCTTAACTGATCCAAAAACTACATCCTATTTCTGTGACATGAAGTGACTAGAAATATTTATTTCTATTCCCCACTGAAATGCTAAGTTCATTGCCGGGTTACCCCCAGAATTTAAATAGCTGGTAACTGTTTTTTACACCTCAGTGGGTGGAGTGAGGCACTGTGACAGTGAAATACAAGATCACATCAAAATTACTCCGGCAGGGCCAAAACCTGGACCTGTTGAAATGAAGACCAAAGCACTAACCACTGAAACACCGAGTCCCCCAAGTTACATTTCAGCATGTCCATTACCGGAAAGTTTACAAATTCAATAACCACATGATGTGTCACAGCACTTCCAAGGAGCTTTGTTGTTCAATAGTAAATTACAACCCTTCTTTTGATTTAAAATTTTCTCTCTGCCCTAGTTAACCATGTCATTCAACTTACGGTTGTTATACATTTCCTCTTCTGTGCTTTGTCCATCTTTGCAGTACAATACACCAACTTTAAATTGATTCGTCATCTAAAAGCAAACAAACAGGATTTAATTGGTTGGCACAAATTTAACACTGTCTATAAAATATTGCACATGTACATCACTAATATATAGATTTAGCCAGGGCTAAAAGCGTAGCTCCCATTAATAAATCTATATTTTAAATCAAACAATAAACTTGTAATCCACAAATCAGTTAGCTTAAGGGAACATTCATGTGACTTTTGAGGGAAAGGATAAGTTATTTTAGAGTGAAACATCTTACATCGAGTTGATAGCCTAAATATACGTACACCCAAAAAATAGAAAACATCTTCTATCACATTCAAGAGCCATATTGGCTCTTGATCACAGTAGATTAGGCCTCGAAAACAAATTCTTGGAAAACAAATCAGGCCGCATTTTTTTGCGTTCGACAGGTTTACTTTACAAATTCTTGCCAACAAATCTTAGGGTGTGTGAACCAACTTTTTATACATCACATCTGAGGTGAAACAGTACTTTTTATCGTACAGACCTCGGACAGAATACGGCATTTCACAATTTTTCNTGCTTTGTCCATCTTTGCAGTACAATACACCAACTTTAAATTGATTCGTCATCTAAAAGCAAACAAACAGGATTTAATTGGTTGGCACAAATTTAACACTGTCTATAAAATATTGCACATGTACATCACTACCAATAAAATTGCATAAAATAATTGTTAACATCAATGGAGGTCAAAAGTGTTGGTAAAACTGGCAACCTGACCCCTCCCACCCCAAACAATTTTGAATTTTGCACAAGTTGGGTAAAATGAGTCCTATTCTGGGTGCAACATTGCTAGGGGGGGGGAGGGAGGGGTGAAGGGGAAATAGAGTGATGAGCCCAAGCAATCAAAAATTGTCATTAGGGGCAAAGTCTGCTGTAACTTGGTGACTTGGAAGGGTTTAACCAGCGACCAAGCAATCCAGAGCACTCTGGTGGCAGGGCAGGAAAAGGAAGGAGAGCTTGCAACTACGTCTCTGGAATCTGAATTCCACCTCTACTTTCCCTGTGGCTCTCCATCAATTGAGCTGTCAGATTTTCGCCAATCAGCATGAAGTGAAACAAGCGCGAATGTAAACAATCATTGAAAAACACATGCCAAGGGTAATGACATAATTTCTAATGTCATCTCCGCCAATCAGCATTTTGCATTGACTTTTTCGATGCAGAAATTCAAATTCCAGAGATGTAGTTGCAAGCTCTCCTTCATCCCATCCTGGAAAGCTTGCTTGCAGGTTAGGAAGGGTTTTTCAACAGTGTTCTAACTCCTTTTGTGGCTTGATGTGTGGCCGACGCAAGTTATTCAAATCCTGGACTTTGTTTGGCTTCCAAAGTACAAAGAAACAAACATTTCATCTTGTCTACAAGATGTACATAATAATGTTATCTTTGTTACTTACCCCTTGTTCATCCAGTTTCATAAGCTGCTCCGGCACCTAACAAGAAAGAAAGACATTTTAATGCAACTTAAGTAAGTTAACAACAAAAAATCGCTGATACGTGTTCAGCTGTCAATGGTAGCAGCTAGACTAATAGCACATCTCCTTAGCACCCAATCATTGTGGGAGCACAAAGCATACAGTGGTCAGAAAGTGTTGAAGTAGTTGGAATATCTTCTACTAATAAATCAGATAAATAGCATAGCAGAGTGAGTAACCAAAAACATAAAAAAAGCTAGTAAGAATCACACCCTACTGGAGCCATCTACTCCGAAGGGGCCATTCCTCTAATCATTAAAACGAAAAGGGAAAATCAGGAAACTTCTTCAACAATAAATTTGCCAACTTCAAAACTTTTTTAGAACCCTGAAAGTAGGTAGTGATTTTGACCAGCTGCCAGCTTGACAGTAAAGAAAGCATATTTGATGAATAGACCATTTTACAGTTGTGGGCTTAGTATCCTAGCCTTTGAGTGAATGTGAGGCTGAGGTTGACCTTGTTTTGGTGCATCTAATAAATTTTAAAAAAAAGCTTCCAAATAATTATGGTTATTACCTTGATTCCAGGCTGTGCCATTCTCAATGCAGAGAGCTGGAGTTCTGGGCAGACATGTTCTAAAATGTCTTTGGCAGGAAGAGCACGTGCTGAGCCATGCCGTGATGTCGATGGAATTGCCTCTTCTAGAATACTTCCTCGAAGTGTAGTGAGCTGCAAGTCCAAAACAACACATCAGGTCCCAGTTGTTCAAATGTCGGATAGCGCTATCCACCGGATAAAACACTATTCACAGATAGCAAAATTGATTTCCGTAATACTTATTCGCTGGATAGTAATTTATCCTGTGGGTAGCGCTATCCAACCTTTGAACATCCGAGGCCAGGGCTTTCACTAAGAGCTGGGGTTAGGGGATTCCCCTGCCGGTTACCATTAGCAAGACTCCCAGCGACTTTCATGGGAAACAAAGGGGAAATAAAAGCTTACTTATTCCATCTACCTGGCAACATGAAATTTTAGTGACAGCTCTGCACATACTTTAAGAAACTAATCTAAACTGCCTGCTAAAAGCTGAGAACAAAGAAACTCTTTCTCTTCTTTCTTACATGCACCTCCTTCATTAAGGAGGGCTACCATTCAAGGAGCATACATGACTAGGGATTCTCTTCCAAGATTTTCTACGCCCTCCCCAAGAGCAAAAGTAAGGGACCAGGGCCACCAGCCAAAGCAAGAACACAGCATCAATATTAAAAAAAATGATTTTAAGGCAAATAAAAAATTTTAAACACTGAAGTTTACCTCACTTGTCCTGACAATGATGCGATACTGGTATTGGTTTCCCTCAGAATCACCGCCTCTCAGAAGAGACGTATTTTCATCAAGTCTTTCTCGTTTCAGCGACAAGGCAACTGGACCAAATTTTTCATCAATGCCAAGATAGTTCAAATGCTCTGGAAGGAAAAGGACACATGGCTTTACACTCACAAGTTTAAAACCCAGTGCTGGTCAAGCTTCTTTTTTACCCCTCAGATTCAATTTTTTAATAGTACCAGAAACACAGAAAAATAATTGTATCCCTTTAACAATATACATATAATGTGCAAGTAGGTTAACATTGTGGGTTTGTTTGTTTTTAGCTTAATATCTCTTGGGTTTAAAATCAATTTTTGCTCTATTACCCACTACGATTAGTCCTCACTTTTCACCAAATGTAAAGGAAGTCTATCATTCAAAGCAAATTTTTCTTTCTTTTCATTGGCCGAAAGCCCACCACGTGACCTGCAAATAACTGCCTACAAATAATGGTCCGCCCATGCCGTACAACTGTGTTTGGCTGCAAATAATATTCTGCACATGCGTAAAGGAAACCATGCTTATCTCCTTCTTGCGATCGCTCTTGCATGAAAATGGCAGATCACTTCGCTTCCCGAGGATATTCATTAAAAAAACAAACTCGGTGATCGAATGATATAACAATTTTTGAACTCGGTTATCGCAAAACATCGTGATTTGTCAGTGTCTCACAGATGAATTATTTGCCTTAGCTTCCGCAATTATTGATCTGCTTACCACAGACAAATCACGATATTTTGCTCAACCTCATCCAATAATTGTTAATTTACTTTTCTATTTCACAGCCCAGTCAGAATGAGCCATCAACCAGCAACCTTATCACTTGCAGTGGCATACATGTATATGCTGCCTACTATTAACCTACTACATAAAAATGACTTTGAAAGAAGTGTTGTTAATTTTCACAGCAATTTGCAAAGCATTCTCAGGGTGCAAAGAAAATCATTTTTACAACTTGCCATTCAGGCAAGCTGAAGCTAGTATTTACTAGCCCAGATGTCATTGCAACTAGCCCCAAAAGCTTTTTGACAAGCAGAATTGATTTCACAGTTCTTCTGTTATTCAAATTCATCAAAAAACATCACTTGCCCGTCGGGCAAGTAAAAAACAGAATTCACTAGCCCAATAGCAAAATCCACTAGCCCTGGGCTATTGGACACTACTTTCTTTGCACGCTGCATTCTTCCTGAGACCAGTCTAAAATTCTACACATAGATGGAGAAGGTGGCTGTAACCCATTCAACAGAATTTTTACATATGTATGTAAACTTTGATGAATTAATATCAACACTTTTAACTCTTCTGTTGCTAGACAGTAACGGCATCAAACAAACTCGATTTAAAAGTTTATAAAACATAGCCAGTCTTAACGTCTTATTGATGCTGACAGTTTCGATGACTGTCAGCCATCTTTATCAAAAGTTGAAAAACATTAAAAGTGTCAGAAGCCTTAAATAGGCTTCTGAAGGTGTTAATTATTGCGATAAACGTGCAAAGTCATCGAAAGTGTCAGCATCAATAAGAAACTGTCAGCATCAATAAGACGTTAAGACTGGCTATGTTTTAAGAACATTTAAATCGACTGTTTAACTTCACTAGCCTGATGAATTTCTTCAAGAATCAAACAAACTCCCAACCAATGTTACAATTAGTTGAGAGGTTACCATAGCAACAGCTTAGAGCTAAAAAAAGGCAGAGAGAAAAAAAAGACTGAGGCATGCACCTTGTCTACCATTACTTAATTTTGAGTCAATAGTATGTTAGCGTAAGTTTAGAACACTTTCACTTCTAGACCATGTTATGGAGAGATTGATTTGTCACTCTACCTTCTAAAGCTGTGGATGAAATCCTATGTTGCCATGCAAATACTCTTTGACAGAACTTTTGCACAGTGCTATCTATTTTTTAGCATTTCACATTTTCTTTCCTTTGACTACGAAAAGAAGTAAAAGGGATGAACACATCTTATTTTCACCTACCTTGTCCAACAAAAAAGTTCTTGTAATAATAAGCTCCATGATCCACATGCTCAAACACTCGTCCATTTTCATTGTAAAAACTTTCTCCAAGATACAAGAATCCACTTTCAGGTTTTGAATTATCAAGAATCGTAACTCCAGTACCACTGCTTAGATTTCCTACTTGTGCAGAATCATATGCAGTCAATAAAATATCAAGGGTTGACCTTCTTCTAAAGTTGTCTAATTTAGGTTCCTTTGGTCGCAAGGGATCATGAAGACTTTGCAATGCCACAGTGCCCCTTGATAACCCAATTTGTGGGTCCTGGTCTTCTTCACCGCCAAGTTCATTCCGAAAATATGGGCAACTTAGAATGAGATTATTACTTTTCTCATCGCCAAGGTCTGATTCCTCCTCATTATTACTCACGCTAGAGTCTGAACCTCGCCGTTGTAATTTATCATGGATCGTTGCCGCAGTAACTTTAGTTGACGCTGCAGATGCTCCAGATCTTTTGTTCTTTCTTTTGAGTCCATCACCTTGTTTGGAATACTGCAGTGCAAGTTCATCAAAATCAACCATTACGCTGCGACAATCATAATGTGCAAAGAATTTTCTAGATGGCTCATCTCCAATCTCCTCCTCTCCTGCTTTCGCATCTCCAGACCCCTTAAAAACTCGAAACAAGTAAGCATTGTTTCTAAGTGAGTTTTTACGTTTAAGCAAAGGAGTCCTTCTTTCAGTGAGCGGGCTTGAGGAGGCTGAACTAACTCCTGATTTGCCTCTAACGCCATCAATGGTCTGGCCTTCATTATCGTAAGACCAGGATTTCTGACCTGGTTGTATATGTCTCTCATTTTGAATATTTTGTTCAAACTTCCTTATTAATGCAAAAAAACTTTCATTAGTAGGGGAACGTTGTTCAGCATCCCCGCCATCTGCATAATTGTTCCTCACAACCATATTTATTTCACTTGTGTCGCTGCTACTCCGCACGTGCATGGGTTGTGGTTTCATTTTTAAGGGGCTGTCAGCCCCATAAATTGAACCGGTGCTTCGACGAATTTCATCATCCCTGTTGTATATGTAACTGTACCTGTAGGCATCGGAATCATCTTTAGCCCTACAAATGACAGAGAAAATCAGGCATAACTACAGAATATGGGGCAGCCTCTTTAGAACTATTCTTTTGAGTGGCTCGGTGGCTAATCAGTGAGATAAAATGTAAAATGACCTTGTCATTCTTTTTTCTCATTGTCCAAGACTCTAACGTTGACTGACAAGCCGACAAGCCACCAAGCTCATCAGTGAGATGAAATGTAAAATGACCTTATCATTCTTTTTCTGGTTCTCCAAGACTCTAACCTTGACTGACAAACCACCAAGCCACCGAGCCTTTGAAATATAAACCTTCACTTGTTCTTAAAGCTTAAACCCATATACATGTACGTTAATTGCCATCTAACTCTTTATAAACTGAAATATATTTTTCTTGTTCTTTACACATTTGTTACCTGAAAATTATAATGACGTAATGTACAATCATAATTATCATAAGCTAGACCAAGGTTGAATGGAATGAAGATTTAAACAGCCCTCTTTTGTGATTATGAAATTCCGAAATTAAAGGTGAAGGATTTGTAAATTAATTAAGGCGTATTACAAAGAAAAATTGTCAATTTAGTTGTTGGAGATATGATAACGACAAGAAAACGTTTAAATTTGCCATTGAAAATTCTTCAATCTTTTCCATCAAATACCTTTGTTGTATCTATATCAATTTATCTTGAGATCTCAAAAGGCTTCCCTCGCTTTTTAAAAAAGAATACTCCCTGGCAATTTCGTTGCAAACCATAGTTGATCAACTACAAATAATTAATTTTCAATTTCAACAAATGAACAGACGATCACAACATTCAGCCACTTCATCACATAATAACGCATTTAAAAAACCTCAAATTGAAGGAGAGTACACAGTTTGTTTCTTCTAAAAACAGGCCAGCCCAACAGCGTGATTGTTATGATTTCAAAAGACAATGCCGAAATTCTCTAGCTACAAGTGCAACATACAAAAAATCATAAACATACAAGCTAATTCAAAACCACATTCAAGCAATTCACAATTCACCTTTTCTCTTCCATCATAAAAGTATAGTTCCTGATTCGAATAAAAGCCTAGCAAACTGACAAATTTCTCTTGCTGATGAAAGCGATGGTTTGCTCATCCCCGCCACAATTTTATCACGAAAATTCACGTTTCCGGTATAGATAAAACACAAATGGCCGCTCTGCTCAGTGCTACGGTTGGTTGGTGGGACGATCGAGAGAGGCTGAATCACTTTTAAGTCTTCCTCGCAGCGCAAGTTTACTTTCGAATCGAATAATCCCCACCACAGTTCGTAAAACACATCCTAAAACGCTCAACAAGTTCTCTTGGCTTTATAAGTTTACAAAATAATCCTTTCGTGTCCAGACGTGCGAATGTCATACCGCAGAATCTTTTTCGCTTCTGGAACTACATGTATCCCACATCGCGTTTTCCGTATCTATGAGAAACGGAGGCAAATGTACTTCACCCAAAAAACCCAGAAGATGCCAGTAGAAACACGAGATGCGGTAATTGGCTCTTGAAAGACGAACTTTGCCACTTTCGCGTACAGATGTTGACTTGCTCCGAGAAGCTATATCACAGAATTTCGTTATAATCTGATAATTACCAAGGCCAAAGCTTGCTACTGAAGCCGCTGAAACTTTCAACGTGTTGACAGTTCCAACGAAAAATGGGTGAACTGAACTCTGGTGCCACCGTAAATACCGAAGGTCCAACGTAAAGCCAATCGATAAATTCGATTAATCCTTGAAATGCCAAAAAAGAAAGAAAGCGTTCTGTTGGAGCAATCCGTGGTACATCTGGCTACCGTGAGAAATTGTTCGGTTGATCAGTCTGCATTAATTCCAAACGGATGGAATCACAAAATTAGGAGCAGAAAATCAATACGAGCTAAAGAACGGCTTACTAACAAAAGCACCTCAGATACAAAGTGACCTGATAGGTCGATACGGAGTTGGATTTCAATTTATGAATTTTAACGAAGGCAAACGAATCTCCACAAAAGCATCGTTCTATTTTGACGCGTTCAATCATCAGTCACACATGAATGGCGATGCAAAATGTCTAGAAAGATTCAATCGAACTTTCCACTACACAAGTAAAACCAAACAAAGCCTCTAAAATTACCAAAACAAAACAATATACAGACGCGATCACGAACATACAAAATTCTCACCTCTCCCTTGCGAACAGAGCTGAAATGTCCGATTTCTGATAATATTCGGAAACGTTCGTAACCATTCGTGAACTTTCGTATCGTCGATACCTTGTCGCTTCACTCAGCAAAGCCATGCCAAAGATTATCTTATCTTGTACTTGTAAACTTAATCTTACCCATTCAAATGTAAAAAGAAGTAAAATTGACTTCTAATGAAGAATGTAAGAAATCCGGAAGTCGTGGTTTTATTGCGTGGAGTTGACGACAATCTTCTTAGCTGGGCGATTAATATACCGTTACATAACGTTCATACTGAGAAATAAGTTCACAACAGAACGGGAGAGGAAAGACGACAGCAGATCTTGTGTGACAAGCGTGACAATAATTTTGTTTGAAAAAACCTTCAGCCAGACTTCACATTCCTTTAAACAAATCTTTTTGTAGAAGAGCAAAAACCATCAATTCCTGACAAAACACGTAAGTAATAGCCCTGTCACGTTTGTCACACCCAAGCGCGTTTTGCCGTCCTCTTCAATTCCTTCTCCTGTGCCGTCCTGTTGCGTAAACTCACTAATGAATGGCTAACATTTACTTCTGTATTAGCATCAGTAAAACTTTAAAAAGCCGTGTTTAAGGTTCATGAGGCAACAAAGCCATGGGGTGTATAGTGACCAAATTATTGCCTCGACTTGAAAAGAGAAACAATATTTAGTACAAATTTTAATTTATACTAAATATTGTCTATTGTTTCTCACTCTCTTTAAAAAGCCACTGTGAACCGTGGCGAAGTTTTTCCTGGAACTGACTTTGTTCGCCAACGACTCTTTAATGTAAAATAAAATATTTTTCTATACCTGTAAATTAAAATAGGAATTTTCACCCAAGCCATGTGAACATCCGTCCCGTACTGGCCAGGTACCTCAGCTTCCTATATACAAATCTTTCTATTTAGTTTAGTCAGCAGCCGGAAATCCGACATTTTTACAGATTTACCACATTTTGATATTTTTATTCAGGTCAAAGGTCCATGGTGCATTTCGGTGACCTATCCTGGACGTGTAAACGAATTGACCATGTGACCCGAAACGGTGGAAACGTGCCGGCCGCGCGGAAAACTGGGGCTCAGTAACTCGTAGAACTGGAAGCGATGATGATACGCTTCTTAACATTAACACCAATCGTTCAACGATTATACGATTCAACTGGCTTTAAATTGCTATGAGCCGTTTCTGAATAGGTTCCTGGATATGGAGAGCCATTACACATGGCTGGAAATGCCACTAGTCCAAACAAATGCAAGCGTGCAGATGATGGAAACTCTTGCCACTGGGTGATCAAATACGGATCTAAAGGAGATTTCTCCTATCCTAGGACTTTTTTTTTGTTCTCGGCGATTCTGGAAGCGAGCACCAAACACAAAAGGGCAAAAATAACCTTTGCGAACCCACTCGTTTGCGCGCGGACAAGGCAAAGAGAATAAACAAAAAAAATCACCTTAAACAAAAACGGGGAATTCATTCTTCTTCTTTGCGCATTGCTACTACAATGGAATATAATAAGAGCTTCTTTTGAAAACTGGATTTTCTAAAACTTCCAGTTCTTCGAGCCAAAAGTTTCCCAAAAGGTTGCGCTAAATTTTCCGAATTCTCGAAACAATTTCTACTAGGGGTTCGGAAAATCGGGATTCCACAGTAATTACAGAAGATACAATTTGATACAAGAAAGTTGTGCCGTTGCAGCAATGCTATCGGTGACCTTCGGAAATCTTCGGAACTCTTCGAAAATGTTCCAAGGAATGTGACTCAGTTCGTTACCAGGTTTTATCGGTCGAATACCTTTCTCGATGCTATGTTGCTTGGTAACCTGGCGAGGGTCCATTGATATTTGGGTGAAAGGAGTGGTAAACTTTTCGTTGACTGAAAACGAAATTTCTGTCTCGAAAATAACCGTTCGATAACATTGACGATGACTAGAGAAGACTTAGAGGTATAAGGAACAAATGGGATGATATAATTACCTCTTAAGCTCTTCATGTTGTTGAGGATATCCGTTTGATTTTCAGGAGTGTTGTGGTCCCGCGTCGAGCAGACATTTGCAGTTCAGAGATCGTGTGCAGAAAACATTCTATTATGGCCACTATTCGGACAGATCATTACCATCTTTGGCTGTAACAGGTACAAAGATGCTTTCGTAGTTTTTAGGTTGAAATACAGTTCTTTCGCTCTCTTCCAAAATGACATTTGGTCGTGATCTGCTTGTAATTAAAGTTATTTTTGCAAGCATGCTTGTAAACTGTATGTGCTCTAAAAAGCGATGACGTTTTACACTTTCTGCTTTCTACATATTTTCATTGTTATTTTCAGCCTCAAGGCCTGGCAAAATTTCAAAATTTTGACTCTTTTAATGACGTCGATTTCGATGGATTCGTTTGGCACGAAAATATTTCCACACCTCACGTACAGCACGAAAGGAAATAAAATTGATTATATGCTCTTATCTGTTTCCTTTACGTTTATACAAGCTTAAATTTTAATCTTTTATATAGGTTTTCTTGACAGAAAAAAAAATCATGCCGGCGCATGTGTTAGCAGTAACATATTGTTATTTCTCACAATACAAAAGGAATGTAAATGCTGCTTCTTGTTGTTTTATGTTTGAAGCCTGGTTTAACTGTAGAACACCATGCCTTGAACAAATTAAATATGATACACAAGAATGAATTAAGTGAGGAATAAATTTAACACGGTATCCTTTCTTGCGTGCTAGCTATCTATCGGTATACAGTACTCAGTAAGAAAAAAAGGCAAGAAGTCATTCAATCACTAATAATTATTAGAAGTAAATCCAAAAATGAATGTGTATGCTACAGTGCTTAATTCCTCATTCTTTTGGTCCAAAAGTGAAATAAGTAACAGCTTTCCTTCTTGACTTATTCTCTCTTTATGGACTGCATAGCTACCTTCTAAGGTACATGTAGCTGTCCATCTTTAATCAATTTTTTTCCCTGTACCACTTAGCCAGCTTCTAACCTGAAGATATTTGTCCATCTTGAATTAATTTTTTTCGTGTATTTTCATGCAGCAAAGCTGTTGTAGATAAAGACCATTCTCTCATTAAACCAGTATTCAATGTAGTTTGATTCAGAATTTTCTTTATCTCCTATCCCAGATTATAATAATTCTTTGAAGAAAAAGAAATCCTGGTTTAACCTGGGAACAGATTTTACTCACAACAGAGCCACTGTTTTTCAGTAATACAGTCAATGTGGCAGAGTATTCTGCCTGGGGCCTTGTGGTGCTTCAAAAAATATGTCGCCCATTAACTTTTACTGGTTTACTCCACAATGTAAAATAATAAGACAAAACTCACCAAATATGCAAGGTCCTTGAAAAGTGGCATCCACTTGCTAACAGGAAAAAGATGAAAAAAGTGAGCCAGTATTACTTTGTAAGTTGGTCAGCTGTGTTATTGAACAGCATGAAAGTGAGGCAGAGTGAGTTTAAAAAAGAGCAGTGTCAAATATATTGATCCCTGACTGAACCAACACTGGCTATCGGCATATTGATTGACAGGTTTTTTTTAAATTCACCTCAAGATAGTGCTGTTTAAACAAGTTGCCACTCTCTTCTGTCATTTCCTGTTCAAGACTCAGAGTAAGCTGGGGTTTCATTAAAAATTAAATTAGACAGTAGGTTTGAGTAGGGTAACCAACTGTATAAACAAAGGCTGGTAGACCCCTTCCTCTTGGGGTGTCTGGAGGTGTGTTTGCCGAGAAAATTTAAAATTTTTGAAACCCTAAAAAGCGAGTTCTCTTGGTTTAGGCTCTAAATTGAGTTTAAAAGATAAAGGAAGTTTTTTTTTTTATCAACAGCAGCATTTTTTTTTTGCTGTTATTATTTTACAAAACTTACTGTAACCCTTCATCAGCTTTGTCAACAAAAGCCTTCACCCAGCGATTGAATTTAGAATTTGTAGCTACTTACTTTGCATTCTATTTGCTTATAATCTGAGATCTCCCATTAATTTTTTCTCCATCATTTTTTTTAAATATATATTTAGATGTGGCAGTTGAAGTATTTAGTGCAGTTGCTCCTACAAAGAGAAAACAGCTTGATGCAAGTTATGCTATGGCTGTTTCAAGGTAAGAGAGTGATGTTGTATGTAGTTGAAAATGAAATTTAGGGTAAAATAGTTTCAATCTACAGCTAGTTTGAATGTCAATTTTTACATTATCTCCTAACCCTAATTATTATTCATGTTAACCTTATTATTTATGATGTGAATAATATTATTATTAGTGTTACTAGGAGACAAAGGAAACTGATGATGCCATTCATGATTAATAAATATAATAATATTATTAGGGCTAGTACATGTAAATTGAAAATCTAACAAGTTTGAAACCAATTTAATTAACTTGTATTTAATTTTGGAATTACATCAGGTACAGTAAAAACCTGCGACTAAGAACCTTGGTTTCTAAGAACACTGTATCCGAAAATTTGCCCATTAGGCACCCTCTATACAGGAACCTGTTAGTCTAAAATTTGAAAGAGGTTCTTATTTTCTAAAATCTATAAAAAATCTGTACACTTGGCCAAAATTAATACATTGTAAGATACAGTGTAAGTCAACATTCAGGATCCTCTCTGGAGACATAGGTGCCTTATAGCTTCAAATACAGCACTAATTTAGTATGCAAGTTTTATTTAGGAATAATCTGAATACAACTAAATACTCTTAGTTACATTTTTTTTCTTTAGAAAATAAGAACCAATTTCTAAGAACTGTAAATAGCCTAAAGTTGCTCTAATTACCATTTACGTAAGAACCTACTTAGGCTACAAGATTGTAACTTGGGAAAAGGCGGGTTCTTACTTGGGTATTTTTTCTGAAAGTACTCCAGATATGTGAACCTGTGGATATTAGCATTATTCACAGAGACCTTCTCTATTTCATCACACCTCATGCACCTCACCTCACATCACTAACCCACCTCTGATTCCACCTGCATTTACTCCTCACCCCTCTTCCCATAGTACATGCACTCACAATTGACCCAACCCCCCCTCCCAAATTAGATTTTGAGCTCAACTGTTATCTCTATATTGTGTTTATTAGCTCTTTCACTTCCAGATCAAGTTATGACAGGATTGTTTGTCATTCTAACTTTTAAATCGGTGGACAAAAATCTGTGATGTTAACATTCAAATAAAAACTCTTTGGCAGAGCTTTTGCATGGTGATATTTATGTATCAGTCAAATCGAAGCTTCAACATTCCCCCCCCGCCCCCCGGTATACCCCGGGCATTTGACACCTTTGCCATCCCGGGGAGGAGGGAATTTGATTATCAGAGTCTTCCAGGGGGTGGGGAATGTTGATCCCCATGCGTTAGGATTGGGGAATTTGAACTGCACCCTCGATTTCATGTGAAATCTCTGACCTGGCGAGCTGTCATGGGGGACGCATGATGTAGTAATCCCTGGGAGTAATCTCAATAGGTGGGATTTTTTTTAAAGAACGCTTTGTATGTTGCATGACACATGACGAAACTCTGAGCCTTCACTGACCTTGTAGCAGTGATTTGCGCCACTTTGCTCGAGACTTTTGTGCATAGTAAATATGCTAACAGTGCTACTCAGTTTTGTTATTTTGAATGTGAATTATTTGCTGTATTTATAAAGATTTTGTTCGATAACTGAAGGCGTTTCTGCCGTCCTTCTGTCACTTATGTGCCTGTGAAATGTCCCCAGGGTGGGGGCATGTGATTACCTGAATGGACCCTAGTGTGGGGCATTTGAACGGCATTTTGGCCCCGGTAGGGGGGAATTTGAACAATAATTTTTAAAAAAGTCAAATGCCCAGGGGATTGCCCAGTTGGGGGGGGGTGATGATGAAGCTTCGATTTGACCGATACATTATTTCTTAAAATTCTTCACAAAGAAATGTGAAATTTTGGAATATTTTCCATTGGCCATGATTATTAGTGAAAGGGTCATTGAAAACCATTCTTATTGTTGTTTGTTATTGTTTCTGTAGGAGAGCTAAGATATCCCCCTGTACGCTGATGATGGGAATTCTTTATTCTGAGCGGCTGCGACAGAAGAACCCTGATTATCTCAAAAGGGTTTCCTCATCTGATTTGTTTCTAATATCCATGGTGAGTCATCTTTACCAATACTTCCTATGTTTTCTCAGGAATATGGTAATAGTCACGAGATGATGGAATAGGCTTGGCTTAGTCCTGGACCAAACATCAAACTTTTCTTCATGAGACAAACCAAACTTAAGAGTTCAGTTCATAAAAAGTTCGATGTCTGGCTCAGCTAAGTTCATCTGAATGAGTTTGGATCATGCAGTATGTTCTATCCATGTGCTTCAGATGGATAAAATGTCTAAAGATCGTCTCCAGGACAAACATCGGTCTTCACATGCGACAAGATACCGTGTAGCATGAAAATTTTGCGGGTTCTAATTTTTGCGAATTTTGCGGATTGAGCTCAATCCACAAAATAAAACTCCCGCAAAATTTTCATGCTACGCGGTAAACAAATATGTCAAAGAATTTGTATGATAATGTATATTTAACCTTGTTCGGGAGGAAATTTATTAAAATTGCTTTCTGGCCTGATCCATTTTATTAGTTCAATGCGTCTTAAGTTCAACACCCAACAGACGATCTTAATTAAGTCAACCAAAATTAGAGTTTAGTTGTCTCATGAAAAGTTTGATGAAAAGTTTGACCTTAGATGAAATCACCTAATGTAAAGACAGGGATGCCCCGCTCAAGGTGTTGATCAGGGCTGTCAATACAATTTCAAGTTGCCAGGTGGATGCAATCTGTAGGCGGGAAAATGAACAGCTAGGAAGTTCTGTTTTTTCTTTGTTTATTTTCTTTTTGTTTTCCTGTGAAAGTAGCCGAGGGTTACGTTCATCATACATGTACATGTAGTAAAAAATGTGTGGCCCTTTGTGGCAGCCCTGTTGATCAAGATTGAAGAAATGTTGCATCTCTTTTTTTCAGGAAACAGTCTATCGTGCCATAGTGAATGGTGAAATATACATTTAACATGTTATTGAATTGTAAAATGATAATACTGAAGTATTATTGTTTGCGTCATGATGTAGTTACTGTACAGCTTTACCAACATCTCTTCTACAATAACTTTACATAAATACTAACTTGTGATCAGAGCTTTCAGTTTTAGTTATTTAGTGCATTAGAGCAGCATGCAAAGAAAGTCATGTCCATTAGCCAGGGGCTAGTGGATTTTGCTATCAGGCTGGTGAAATCTGTTCTTAACTTGCTCAATGGACAAATGAACTTTTTGGGGGAATTCAAATTAAAAAAGGACTGTAATCAGTCCCATTAATTTTGTCAAAATTTTTTGTCATGCTGGTTATAATGACTCTTGTGCGTGGTAGCACATGCTACTGTAGCTACAGTTTGCCCTTTGTACTCTCTCTGGCTAATAAGTATTGTTGTAAATAAGTCTTTGTTATTATTGTCTTACAGATGGTGGCATCAAAGTACCTGTATGATGAAGGAGAAGATGAAGAAGTCTTCAATGATGACTGGGCAAAAGCAGGCAAGTAACTGTCTGTAGTGACATCTTTGGTCATCTGTCTTTTAGGCTATGTTCACTGTATACCGAATACCCTTTGCAACAGCACGAAAACTGTACCAGATAAGGCCTCTGTTCACAGATAAGAACAGTGATTAATGGAGCAAAGGTGCACTGCACCAATCTCTTAAGTGGAGTCACATATAGGATATTATTATTCATTCAAAATATTTCTCCTTTTCTGATTGACTAAAAGCACACTCATAATTCATCAAAACAAGCTACTGTTGCCCAAATTTGGAAGAATGTTTTGATATTGAACCGATTCATGACATCAAAAGTGCAGCAAAGTTGCAGGTTATTGAATCATTAAACGAGAAGTCCTGGGGACGAGGTTGAGTTGTTTTGGCAGTGAGAACAAAAATGGCGGACATTTCACTCGTTTTACCAGGAATAAATAGGCAAACTATTGGCTAAAAACATAGCAAGAACAGCAAGAAGACAACTCCAGCGGTAACATCTGCTATTTGGAGAATATTTGCCGAGCTAAACAATCCTTTAGCTCCTAAACGTTAAGATTAATGAGCTCTGTCAAAGATGAACATAACATCAATGGAGATGTTTTAGCTTGTTTAACCTGGGAATTATTTTGTATGAATAATAAAACAGTTATACAGGAGAGCTTTTTGTGTTAGTGCAGAAAGCTATCCTGTTAATTTTAAACATAGTCATTGCTCTTATTTAATTTGTGCTTAAAGCCATTATTGTAAAATTGTCAAGCTGTATGGTCCAATAAATAAATAAAGACATGTCTGTAAATTATGGTAATTTGTCTTTTAGTCCTCTGGAGCCATATAGTAAAATTATCATGCAATGATTATGCGGATACAATAAAAAATATACTTTCTACAGTGTCTGATCTAGGATTTTCTGCTAGGGGAGGCAATGTGTCCTAGTCAACAATTTTCAGAGGGACTTTTCGTTTTTTGGGTGGTCACTATATTTTTTTTTATTCTAATGTACTGTGTGTTATGTTATCAGCAAATGCAATGTTCGAGAGTGAATTGAACATACAGTCATTATCTAGAGGGAAAATAAAATATTAGTTTATTCACGTGAGGTTGATTTGAGATTTGATTTGTGGAAAAGCAAAAGAACATACCCTTTGGTGGATCAAACTTCAGACTTTTGTACAGTGATCTTCTCTAGCCAACTCTGTTGAAAGTGGACGTTTCTGCTGTTTCTTCTTTAAGTTGTGGCCCAAAAAATGCTGAAAGCCTTCTTTGTTTTAACATCACTTTGCATTTACGCACATCAAGCGAGGGGCTCTCAATTAAGCACGTGGGTCTACATAATCTACCCCCTATAGGGTTTATTCAAATTAGTTGCTGGCAGCCTAAGAAAATTGATCCTTTTACATACATCGTATTCTCTAGATTTTGGTTCATGCTTTACTTTCAACCTTCTGAAATTGAAACCAAAATATTGTTTTAACCCTTTAAGTCCCAATAGTGACCAAGATCAAATTTCTCCAAACAATATCCATACACTGTTAAGAGATAAGTTATGAGAATTAATAAAATGATCACACAAGAGAAAATGCCTTGATCTTTTATCAAATTCTCTCTACTTATTCTTTATGGAAATGTATAGAGATCAGTTTGGAGAATTTGTATGTGATACCGGGGCTCAAAGGGTTAAGAAGATTTTGCACGAGGAGAAATTACATTTCCTTGTGTCTTTTTCTTTTGAAACACAATTTGAAGTGCATCAAAATGACCCAGAACAGGTATTTGAAAGGGACATCTTTGCTCAAACTGTGCAATCCCACAATGGCGCACTCTTGATCAACACTGTATCTACTCATTACTGTGCGACTTACTTGAACTGGGGCACTTAGAAGAAGATTGTCCAATCACAAAAGATTCTCAAGTTTTTTGGCAAACAGACCAATAAAATTCTAGGTTCAAGTAAGCAACCATTGAAAACTTTAAAAAAATTAATGTCATTGGTCCTCTTGCCTAAAAACTTGAAAATCTTTTGTTTTCAGAAATCGTTGTGATTGGACAATCTTCGAGCTGTCACATTTCAACATGCTGAAATATGCTTTGAGGCTGCAACCAAGAGTGCTCGGAACCTGCGCCGAATTCAGCTGCTACTAGAGAGCTTAAGCTTCATGTATACAGCGAAATTAATGTGAAATGGCAGTGATGACCATGTGACCATTGTCCTCACTGTTTGTAATACCATCTTTTCGCAGTGTTTTTAGGATCATGAGTGTTAGGAAGAAAAGTATTCTTGTTGATGATCATTCACATTAGCCCTCATATCATGGGCCATCATCGCCATTTTTATGTCTGCCATTTGACGTAAACATGATGCTTGACCTCTCTACTGACTGCCATGAGCCTCTCCACTGCTCTTTGTTGTTGATTCAGTTAAATTGCTCTTAACCACTCAGACATGCCAGTAAAATTTTTGGAGTCGGCTGATTAAATATCTGTTTTGTTTTGATTTCAGGAAATAGGACTGTGAATGAGGTAAACAAATTGGAAATGGAGTTTCTGGCTTCCATTGTGAGTGATGGCTTTTGTGTCAGTTTTATTTTAGTCGACTCTGCTCTATTCCTAAGATTCTGCTTTGTCAGTTTTTGGCAAGGACACTGGTTTTGTGAGGTTGTTCCTTCCTTCCTTCCTTGTTTTTTTGTCACAGCCTGATTTCTATAAATGACCTAATTAATTTTAGGGGTCCAAAAAGGGGTATTCAATAGATAGGAGGCGTTTGTTCTCATAACTGTAACAAACTCAACAAAGCTAATATGCTTTTGGCGAAAATATTAAGAGAGTTGTGCCCTTTTTTTGCTAATTCATAGTATTTTGGAGTAATTCTCATATCGGTTGCCCCTTCACTCTCGCCGTAGATCCACCCCTGGCCTGATAGCTAACCAACAAACGTTTCTGCAACACAAGAAACAGTCCTTCAAACCCTTTGTGCAGAACATTCAGCATTTCTTTTTGTTACTGACTTTTAGGACTGGAGCCTTTTCATCAGCAATGAGGATTTCTTGGATTTTGTCAACAAAGTGGAATCAAGGTATTATTGGGTGTTATCGTACATGTAGGAATAAAATTAATGATACAGCCCGGAAAGTGACAATGCTTACAAGAGCTTTTCATTACAAAGTTTAAGTCACAATTCAAACAGGGTTTCAAAGGTGGTCATAACTAGAGCTGGCCACACAAGAGTGGTCGCAAGGAGAGTATCGACTGTATTATTAAGACAATCTAAGATCATGGCATTTTAATTCCACAGAGTAGCAACTACACATGGACTTGGCCGTGGATGGTTCACTTACGGAGACCTTGGCACACTGCTTGATAATGCAAATTTTTTGAAAACTCTGGGGATTTTCAGGATGGAAATTCTAAAGGTAGGTAGTCTAATTTTAGGGGTGTTGCTGTCAGACTAAGTAAACCTGTTAACATGGAATAAATGAATATTTCTTTAGATGTGACCTTTCAAGTGTATGCGCATGAAGTTTTCACATTATTGTTTCAAGACATATTCTTTCACACACTAAGAAATGGGTTTTGTTAATTGAGTCTTTATTTATTATTAATTTTTTTTCCTGGAAAAAGCTCAAAGGTACAGTGTGTTTCATTTGGATATCAGAACTGTGTCATGTGACAGTTTAATGCAGCTTCTCAAATGGTCAATAATATTTCTGGATTGAATGTAATTTGTTATGGTGCCTAGCTATTTCAAATCAACAGCACAGCACCATGGGTAGTCACGTGACCATAGGTCCATCCATCCAACCCCTGCATGTAAGCTGGTGTCAAGTGTCTCACTGAGCAATCCTTTGCGCAGTGAGGCTGATAATGCTGAAACAGAGCTGCAATAAAAGCTGGTCAAAGGAAAATGTCTGACTAAAGTTTGCTTATGTCCTACCAAAAGTAATTGTCCCTGCAAATCAGCAATACTATCATTTTGTCACTAAAAATTTGCATGGAAACTAAAAAAAAAAAACAGATTTTTCCTGCACCTTCCCCCGTGGCACGTCTTGCACTCCAGGCCCAGTTTGTGCTTTGTTTGCCCGAAAAACGTGAAAAAATAGCAGCTTGTCTCCAGGCTTAAGATGAAAAGGATACCAAAGTGACCATTATTTTTTCAGGTGTTCTGTGCTTGTGCCTTGGCTTACATAATGAGTTTGTCGTTGGCATTGTCCCTAACTGCTCTGGCTAGTAGACATCATCATCTTCATTTAAGAACCACTGATGGACTTGCTGTTCCTTGCTTGCCCACTGAATCCACCAGCCGTTTCCATCAAAAAGCTGTCATTGAAGTACCGCCACCACTGCAAGAAAGTGCATTCACAAATGGTTCCTGTAAATTCTGCAGTAGCTCTCGGATTCTCACACGAGGGAGGAATAGTCTTGGACAAACATCACTTAAGCAGGGAGTTAACAGGCAGTTTGGCGAGGACCAGTCAAGATTTACGTCAGAACATTTTAGGAGTGTCCTTGATCCATATTCATATAGAATGCCTATAATTCCAAATGGAACAGCCCTCACCGTTGAAATTGTTCCCAGACTGTCCAAGGACAAAGCCCATAGAGTTATTCCCAACTTATCATGCGGTCGTTCTTATTTTCATTCCAATTTGTCCTCGCTTAAAGTCCTACTGCAGTCTGCAAAGTTATCAACATCAATTGCGAAAAACTCAAACACAAACTCGAAGATGACTATTGCTGAAGGTGACTCTGTCTTTTCTGAGATTTTACAAAGAAGAAGAAAACTTTTTAACCATTTGTCTTCAAACCAAAGCTACGTTTGTGTCGCATAATGAGATATTTAAATGTGTAGGTGATGCCCAGGGGGGGAACCCTGGATTTCAAGTGACGGGGATGACCACAGGGATTTTTTTTGATGGGAAAATTTGGCAAGTATTTTTGTGGGTGACTTGATTAAGTAAGGGTTTTTTGGGTTTTTTGTGTGATATTGGTTAATGGAAATTCGGCATGGGATTTTTTAGAGGGTTTTGTTGCAAGCCCTAGGGATTTTGGGGCATTTTAATTTTTGCCCCCATTTGATCATCGCCGTCACTTGAAATCCAGAGTAACCCCCCCCCCCTTTGTGAGATGATGACTAATTGTTCATAGTTGACAAAAGTGACTTCAGGTTTTGCTAGTCGTGATAATTTATGTGCAATCCCACAATGGCGCACTCTTGATCAACACTGTATCTACTCATTACTGTGCGACTTACTTGAACTGGGGCACTTAGAAGAAGATTGTCCAATCACAAAAGATTCTCAAGTTTTTTGGCAAACAGACCAATAAAATTCTAGGTTCAAGTAAGCAACCATTGAAAACTTTAAAAAAATTAATGTCATTGGTCCTCTTGCCTAAAAACTTGAAAATCTTTTGTTTTCAGAAATCGTTGTGATTGGACAATCTTCGAGCTGTCACATTTCAACATGCTGAAATATGCTTTGAGGCTGCAACCAAGAGTGCTCGGAACCTGCGCCGAATTCAGCTGCTACTAGAGAGCTTAAGCTTCATGTATACAGCGAAATTAATGTGAAATGGCAGTGATGACCATGTGACCATTGTCCTCACTGTTTGTAATACCATCTTTTCGCAGTGTTTTTAGGATCATGAGTGTTAGGAAGAAAAGTATTCTTGTTGATGATCATTCACATTAGCCCTCATATCATGGGCCATCATCGCCATTTTTATGTCTGCCATTTGACGTAAACATGATGCTTGACCTCTCTACTGACTGCCATGAGCCTCTCCACTGCTCTTTGTTGTTGATTCAGTTAAATTGCTCTTAACCACTCAGACATGCCAGTAAAATTTTTGGAGTCGGCTGATTAAATATCTGTTTTGTTTTGATTTCAGGAAATAGGACTGTGAATGAGGTAAACAAATTGGAAATGGAGTTTCTGGCTTCCATTGTGAGTGATGGCTTTTGTGTCAGTTTTATTTTAGTCGACTCTGCTCTATTCCTAAGATTCTGCTTTGTCAGTTTTTGGCAAGGACACTGGTTTTGTGAGGTTGTTCCTTCCTTCCTTCCTTGTTTTTTTGTCACAGCCTGATTTCTATAAATGACCTAATTAATTTTAGGGGTCCAAAAAGGGGTATTCAATAGATAGGAGGCGTTTGTTCTCATAACTGTAACAAACTCAACAAAGCTAATATGCTTTTGGCGAAAATATTAAGAGAGTTGTGCCCTTTTTTTGCTAATTCATAGTATTTTGGAGTAATTCTCATATCGGTTGCCCCTTCACTCTCGCCGTAGATCCACCCCTGGCCTGATAGCTAACCAACAAACGTTTCTGCAACACAAGAAACAGTCCTTCAAACCCTTTGTGCAGAACATTCAGCATTTCTTTTTGTTACTGACTTTTAGGACTGGAGCCTTTTCATCAGCAATGAGGATTTCTTGGATTTTGTCAACAAAGTGGAATCAAGGTATTATTGGGTGTTATCGTACATGTAGGAATAAAATTAATGATACAGCCCGGAAAGTGACAATGCTTACAAGAGCTTTTCATTACAAAGTTTAAGTCACAATTCAAACAGGGTTTCAAAGGTGGTCATAACTAGAGCTGGCCACACAAGAGTGGTCGCAAGGAGAGTATCGACTGTATTATTAAGACAATCTAAGATCATGGCATTTTAATTCCACAGAGTAGCAACTACACATGGACTTGGCCGTGGATGGTTCACTTACGGAGACCTTGGCACACTGCTTGATAATGCAAATTTTTTGAAAACTCTGGGGATTTTCAGGATGGAAATTCTAAAGGTAGGTAGTCTAATTTTAGGGGTGTTGCTGTCAGACTAAGTAAACCTGTTAACATGGAATAAATGAATATTTCTTTAGCTGTGACCTTTCAAGTATGCGCATGAAGTTTTCACATTATTGTTTCAAGACATATTCTTTCACACACTAAGAAATGGGTTTTGTTTATTGAGTGTTTATTTATTATTAATTTTTTTTCCTGGAAAAACCTCAAAGGTACAGTGTATTTCATTTGGATATCAGAACCGTGTCATGTGACATTTTAATGCAACTTCTCAAATGGTCAATGATATTTCTGGATTGAATGTAATTTGTTATGGTGCCTAGCTATTTCAAATCAACAGCAGAGCACCATGGGTAGTCACGTGACCATAGGTCCATCCATCCAACTCCTACATGTAAGCTGGTGTCAAGTGTCTCACTGAGCATTCCTTTGCCCAGTGAGGTTGATAATGCTGTACCAGAGCTGCAATAAAAGCTGGTCAAAGGACCATGTCTGATTAAAGTTTGCTTATGTCGTACCAAAAATGATTGTGCCTGCAAATCAGTAAGACTATCATTTTGTTACTGAAAATGTTTATGGAAACTATAAAAAACAGATTTTTCCTGCACCTTCCCCCGTGGCGTGTGTCTCACTCTCCAGGCCCAGTTTGTGCTTTGTTCGCCCGAAAAACGTGAAAAAATAGCAGCTTTTCTCCAGGCTTAAGATGAAAGTATAACAAAGTGGCCATTATTTTTTTAGGTGTTCTGTGCTTGTGCCTTGGCTTACATAATGAGTTTGTCGTTGGCACTGTCCCTAACTGCTCTGGCTAGTAGACATCATCATCTTCATTTAAGAACCACTGGTGGACTTGCTGCTCCTTGCTTGCCCACTGAATCCGCCAGCCATTTCCATCAAAAAGCTGTCATTGAGGTACCCCCACCACTGCAAGAAAGTGCATTTACAAATGGTTCCTGTAAATTCTGCAGTAGCTCTCGGATTCTCACACAAGGGAGGAATAGTCTTGTACAAAGATCACTTAAGCAGGGAGTTAACCGGCAGTTTGGCAAGGACCAGTCAAGATTCACGTCAGAAAATTTTAAGAGTGTCCTTGATCCTTATTCGTATCAAATGCCTATAATGCCAAATGAAACAGCTCTCACCGTTGAAATTGTTCCCAGACTGTCCGAGGACAAAGCCCATAGAGTTATTCCCAACTTATCATGCGGTCATTCTCATTTTCTTTCCAATTTGTCGTCACTTAAAGTCCTATTGCAGTCTGCAAAGTTATCAACATCAATTGCAAAAAACTTGAACACGAACTCAAAGATGACTGTTGGTGAAGGTGACTCTGTCTTTTCTGAGATTTTGCAAAAAAGAAGAAAAATTTTTAACCATTTGTCTTCAAACCGGAGCTACGTTTGTGTCGCATAATGAGATATTTTAATGTGTAGGTGATGCCCAGGGGGGAATTCTGGATTTCAAGTGATAGGGATGACCACAGGGATTTTTTTTGATGGGAAAGTTTGGCAAGTATTTTTGTGGGTGACTTGATTAAGTAAGGGTTTTTGGGGTGTTTTTTTGTGTGATGTTGGTTAATGGAAATTCGGCATGGGATTTTTTGGGGGGTTTTGTTGCAAGCCCTAGGGATTTGGGGCATTTTAATTTTTGCCCCCATTTGATCATCCCCGTCACTTGAAATCCAGAGTACCCCCCCCCCCCCCCCCCCCCC